GCCTGTATAAAGACTAAATTAAAGGCATGAATTAATATAAATCAATTATTTAGAACATTTAATAAATATCTGAACGTTTCAATTCATATTAAATTCATTATATAATTTATATCAAAATTCTGGATATAGAAAAGAAACTATAGTTAAATAATTTGGGGAAATATAAAATAAAATCAAAATTTGAATAAAATATTTGAGGATAGATTATTTTTAAGCAAAATTATATATTATATTTAAAATGATTGATAACTTATTAATATTTTTGCAGATTAAAGTACTCTATAAATATGAAAAAAATCATTCTCATTTATATAAGAAATTTGGTCTATTATTACATAATAATTAATTTTTAAGTAGACTTAAAGTTTAAAAATAAAAAAAGAGAAAAATAAATGTTTAGATGTTACTTTTCATTTACATATTTTTTTTCAAGGTTTAAACGAGGTCATCGTAGAGCAAAAATTGAAGTGATAATCAAAATAAAACTTTATTAAGTCGAAAATTGATTTAATAACATTTAATGTGACAAAAAAAGATGATAAATAATAATTTTGTTTTATCAATTAGAAAGAATCTTAATTTAAGAAAATTTTAAATCATAAGTAATAGTTTGAATCAAAATAAGTTTTTCATTCCAATTATATGTTCTTTAATTATTTATTAGTAAATTTAGAATAATATAAGTTGAAAGATTAGATTAAATTGAAAATAATTGTGGTTGGTATAAGAATATTATTAAGTATTTTAAGTTGAGTATTTTGTGTCATGTAAGTTCTTAAATTATGAGAATATAATCATTAAATTATTGATTTTTATAATTTTCAAAAATAAATTTATAATTAACCGTAAAATTCTCATCAAAATTTATAGCAAATTGATCATTAGCTGATCTTTTAATATATTTATAAGGCTGATTCTTAATAATTATTTGTATTTTTATTAATTATTCAATTTAAAAATACTTTCAATTTTTGGCTCTTTGACAGAATATGACTGCATCAGATGAATAATTAATTTTTATTTCAAATATGCTTTTATTTGCTCCTGAAATTAATAAATATAAATAGATTTCTTGATAAATACTTTGTGATGTTAGATTGCTAATATGTATAAAATCAGTTATGATAATTATTTTTCAGTTTTTTTTTTAAAATAAATAAAAAATTCAGTTCAATTTCATTTGTTTAATGAGACTTTTCATTGAAACAAGAAGAAGACAAAACTAATTCATATTGAAAAGCATTCTTTAACAATGCTATTACTCATTAATTTTCTAAGAGGAATGATATTTATAAAATAAATAATGTTCGGATTGGAATTGAAAAATTTAAAACTTATTTATTAATACCATTAGCTTTTTTTAGATGTTACTCTTTTTTTGAAAGCCTTTTACATTTTATAATAGAACTACAGTATTATTACTTAATTTTGTGAATATAATATTTAAATGAAGTATGAATAAATGAATCTCCATTATTATGATGTAATTTAAATTTTATTAGAATCCTATAATTAAGTGTTAGTATTGTCTTGATGGATAATTCAGATATTTTTGACATCAAAAAATTAATAAAATATATTTGTATGGAACTCGAATAATAATAATAGCCAGTTAATTTAAAAGAGCTTAATCTTTCTCAAATATCATATTCAAGCATCAATTTAGATCCATAAGAAGATTATTATGGAGGTTATTCAGGAAGATCATTAGAATTGAACATTAGAGAATATCAAGAAAATAATGAATTTAAAAAAAAAAATCTCCAAATTGAGTTATCAATAGTCGATTATTTGAGTTCTTTGAACATCAAAATGAAAACTGATCCAAAAGCTAAACAAGATCGATTCTTTTCGAACTTAAGAAATTAATGCAAACGAAGAGCCTTAACTTAATTAGAAATTGAAAGAGATTTTTCAGATAATACACCAGACACAATAATCAAAAGTTCATAAGTTTCAATAAAAATTAATACCCTATTTGAGAAACGAAAAACTTAGCTTAGTTTTGCCAGCACAAATTAAAGTATTTAGAGTAAATAAGTGATCTCATTAATATAATAAGAATAAGAAAAATTGTAAAAGTAATAAATTTATGAATGTGAAGAAATAGATAGCATCATTTCAAATAAATCACTTTATTGAATCAAATGATTTTTATTTTATTTTTTGCTAAATCCTCTTCTTATTTAACCAAAAATACCTAAATTTATATTAAAAATTTCAATTTTTAGTTTTTTTCGACTTATATACAATAATCAATTTTCTATGAAGAAACATTAATATCAGAATTAAAAAAATAATTACTTAATTTTTTTTAATTAAATTATTTATTAAATTTAATAAATGAATTTAATAACAATATTAAATTACTAGAAATAACTATAAAAAAACAAACAAGAAATAAATAAAAAAAAACTTAAAAATTAAAAGTAACAAATAAAATGTAATAACTAAATAGATATAAATTTATAAAACATAGATTTATATAAATATCAAATTTCATAGAAAATTGAAGAACACAAATTTTTGGAAATTCCCCCAAAAAATTTACAATCATAATAAATTGTTTATGTGTCAACTACAACTCAAACAGATTATATAGAGGATAATGAAAATGAAATTCCTGAAATCGAAATTTGTAAATTAAAACATTCATATGAAAAATTATTAAAATTAGAAGAATTAAAAAAAATATATAAGGATTGTATTGAAATAAATTAAATTGATGCAATTGAATAAATAAAATAATCAGACTTTGAAATAAAAAGATTAATGCATGAATTAGATTAATTACCATAAATAGACTACAGATAGGATTTGAAACAATAATAATAAGAGTTAGAAACTTTAAAAAATCATTATTCAGCATTATAAAAAGAACATGAAGAGCTTTAATAAAAGAACACAATGTTGTTATGTAACCTTAAAGAAAAATTAAATCAAAAAAATCATTGACTATTTAGTTTGTATATTAATAACAATATATTTGTTATTATAAGATATATATTTTGCAATATATTTTTTATAGTTAATCATTTAAATTAGTAACATTTATTTGTTTTATATTATTTTTTGCTAATTTTCATTTCATTAAAAATATTTTTCAATCTAAATTAATGTCAATATTTGATATATTACATTATAATGCCTCTCTAAATACTTGATTGTTAAATGATAATAGAACAATTTTAATAGAATAATAAAATTTTAATGTTAAGAATTATTTTTCTTGAAAACTTTAAATGAAATCAATAATTATTGAATTATGATTATAATAATAAAATAATAACAATTGTTAATAATCTTAAATCATCTTCTTTTTCCTTTACCTGGAGCTCCTCCCATTCCTCCCATTTATTTCATCAAATCTTAAATTCCATCCATTTAACCCATTTATTTCATCATATTCATAACATTGTCCATTCCTCCTAACTTTTAGAGCATACTAGGATCAATAGCCCCTTTCATCTTTTACATCATTTATTATGGATTTCTTTTAAGTTGATCAAATTCATTTCCTCCTATAAAATTATTAATATTTTTTACTTTTTCCTCCTAAATTAGTTTTAGCTAAATTTCCAACTACTTTAGACAATTTCTTATGTTCATCTAATAAAATGTGAACTTCTTCAATAGATGTACCGGATCCTCTTGCTATTCTAACAATTCTACAAAAATTTAAATTGCCTAAATTAATATAATTATTTACCTTCACCATCCAATTCTTCTTATGTCATAGAATTCATTATACATAAAAACCTCTAAATTCTTTTAATAGATTCTTTTTCATTTCCTTTTGATAATACTGAACTTCCCATTCCTGGAATAGCAGACATAAATTAATTTAAAGATCCTAATTTAAGTACAGAATTGAATTATGTTTATAAATCTCTAATAGAAAATTTACCCTCTTTTAATTTTTATATTAATTATGGTTAATCTCTCATATTTACAACATCTTTAACTGATTAAAATAATTTATTTATATCTCCTAATCCTAATAGTCTTCTTACAAAAGATGAAGCTTCAAAAGATTCCAAATCATCAAAATGCTCACCTTCTCCTATGAATACAATAGGAGATTCTGTAGCTGCTACTGCTGACAAAGCACCACCACCTTTTGCATGTCCATCCAACTTTGTTATAATAACAGACCCAACATTAACAGCTTTCTTAAATGCCAAGGCTTAATCAAAACAAGCTTAACCAATTGATGAATCCATAACAAAAACTATATCATCTGGTTTTACTGCAGCTTCTACTTATTTCATTTCTTCAAATAAATCACTTTCTTATTTATGTCTTCCTGATGTATCTACTATAATTATTTCAAAGGCTTCTTTCTTAAACACATTAACACCCTCTTATGCAATTTATACAGGATCAGCTTCAGTATAAGATCTAGCATTTGATATTACTTATACCCATAAAATGGAACTCTCACTTTAGTGGCATTTTATTTTAATTAATCAAAAGCACCTGCTCTGAATGTATCAGCACAAACTAAAGCTACTTTCCAGCCTTTCTTTTAATAATAATATGCATATTTAGTACAAGTAGTTGTTTTACCAGATCCTTATAAACCAACAAACATAATAACATTTTGTTTTCCTATTAACATTTTTATATATTAATACCCTTTTTAGGTTAAAATGGCTTTCTATCACTCTCAAGCATTCTTGTTAATCCATCTACAACTGATTTCTATATTAATTTTTAATGATTGACATTCTCCTCTTAACATAGTTTGAATTCCATTTTAACATCTTCTCTTAATTTTTTTATAAATTTTGCATTAACATCTGCTTTTAATAAAGCCATAGCTATTTCACCTAATATTTAGTCAACTAGTGCTTCATCTACAACAGGGGCTTTATTGAGTTTTTAAAGTGCCGCATTTATTGATTTTCCTAGTTCTGCAAGTACCATATATATTAATATATTGTTATTAAAAAAATAATAATCTGAACACGTAATTTAATAATAGTTTAATAATACATTCATTACTTAAATAATAATTATAATTTAATTAAGTCTTGCTCATTTAAGCATAACCCATTAACTATTACAGAATTTCCTTATAATTTGAATGGTAGATGTTGCATATTTAAATGTCTTAAAGCTAAACTATCTTAAACTATTCCTCTCATTGAAGGTTCATAAATCATCCTAAACTTCAAAGCATTTTGACTACAATCATCCTAAAATCCAATTTAATCATTACCAAAATAAGTTATTTAACATCAAGTCTCCTCTCAAATTTTTAATAACTATTCATATTCTCATTCTCTTCAGAACTAAAAATCTTTCATAATTAAATTGATTACATTAAATTGATTATCAATTCTATATAATCTATAACCATATTTTTATGGATCTTCATTTTTAGTGGGATCATATGTTTTACTGCATTCATTCAATTTTAAAAATACAATCAAATGAATCTCTGGTTTTTTATTTCTATTGCTAGACATAGCTTCTAAGATTGAACCATGCAAACTACTTTCTTTTTATGTGATAAAAGATTATTCTTATCCACTTATTCCAGATATTGATTTTAGTTAATTTTAATTAAAACTTAATTGATAACTGTTCCATTCTGAAAATGGCTTTTTGACAATTTAGATAGGATCATCAGAGGAATCAAATATCTCTTGAGGGTTTTAAATTGGATATTATATATTTTTTGGACTTTAAATTGGACCAGAAATTTCAGATCCTAAAGTAGAAACTATGGGTATTTATGATTATGATCTTGCATGCTCAAACTTTTATGTTTTTTTTATAGTATCAATAGAATCACTTCTCTATTTTTAAACAAAAAAATTTTGATCAATAAATTCTTTTAATTTATTTATTTCTACTTAAAGATCTTATAATAATTATTCAGAATTATGCTGAGTTTTTTTTTAAATTTTATTTTCAAGTTAAAGTAGTATAATTTTTAAATTTTATAATTGTAAAAGAAATTCTTTTTTATCTATTTATGATTCTTCAGTTTTAGTTTATTGAAGATTAATCTTATGTTCTTTCAACTATTTTAATAATTCTATAATTTTATCTTTATTTTTTATGATTTGTTTTTAGATTTCATCCATTCTATTATATGCTTATTCAATCTTTTTTGTCTATTCAAATTATTATCCTAAACATATTTTTTTGAATTCTTATTTAACATCCATAATCATATGATCATGATATTATTTACCATATTTAAATTTGATTTCCCTCATCAAAATTTCTTTATCCTTTAAATACATTGTTAAAAGATTTTAAACCTCATTTTCAATATTTCGATCTGTTGTCATTTAAGAATTTTATAATTATTATTATAAATCTTTTAGTTACTTCTTCATTTTATCAATTTCAATCAGCAATTAAGTCTTGTTCAATGAAAATGTCTTAGCTTAAGCAGTTACTTATATTAATTCCTTTTATGATTCCTCAAAATATTTTTATGAATAATTTAACTTAGTTAAATTTTGAATAATGCAACAAAAGTTTTAATGCAGAATATTAAGACATTTTACAGTTTATACTAATAAACCTTATTTCGAGATTAGCATATCTTTTGGTTGATGAATTATGTTTAACAATATCTAATCAAATGATAATACTAAATTAATTAATGGTGATTATAACTGAATCTCAATTAAAAATTATTTCTTCTCTTCCAAAATACATTAATGTTTTCCTACTTATATCAAGTTTTCTGATTCTTTCAATAATAATTATTAAAGTTTAATCAACTTTTCAAATGGAATACTAAGCTTAATCATATCTACATCAAATAATTAACGTAACTTTAACCATTACTATTAACCTACTTAATCTAGTAATTTATTAACCGAATCATTTAATTATTACTTTTCTTTAAGTTTTAATAAGATTGATGCATAATTTTATTATTTTTCTTATATAGCTTATGCTTTGCTCTCAAGTTCTCTATACTCATTATCTGTTACACTAAGAGTCTTTTATAAAAATAACAATGCTTACTTATTTGGTTTGATTTATCTTAATCTAAAGTGCTTATATAGTTTTCTTCATTTATGCTTGTTAAAGTAAAACATCATTTGGTTTGGCATACAAGGCATTTGATATTTCTTCTGATTCAATAGCTAAATAATACTATTATAAATTAGTTGATTCTTCATCAGCCCTGAACATATTTAATTAATTTTGATATGCTAAGCTATTATCTTCAGTTTTCTGTTGTTTAATTTATTTTGGGTTTCTTTTTTTAATTGTTTCAATCAATTCGTCTATTTGTAAATACATAGATTAAATAATTGTTGAAGTTGCATCAAATTAAGATGTGTTTGTTTCTAAGTTCATCACTTTCTACTAAAATTTAGCAGTTGAAATTGCATTTTTAGGTGATTAGAGCATTGTATATTAAAATTTAAATTCCTAAATAATTCTGTTAAATTTAATATATTATGAAAAAATTTAGAATGTTGTTAAATAAATAAATCTAATAAGGATGTTGTTGATTGAGTATCTTTTTAAGCCTTTGATTTTTCTGCTTAATCATCAAAGATAAAGTATTAATTTTTAATGATGGGATCTTTAAACACTATTTCTGCTCACATTAAATACATGAGTTTAAAGGATTCTAAAATATATTAATAATTTAACTGAGTTCAATTTCCAGAATTATTTCTTGATAAATTTTGATTCAAAATTAATAAATCTTATTAGTCTTTGAAGATTTAGAACATCTAAGAAACTCTTGTTCGATTAAAAACTTCAAAATACTACTATATTGTAATGTCTTATATGATCTTTTTGTTGAGGAATCAGAATTTGCTTCCTTTTCAAAATTTAATAATCATTAACCATACTAAAAATTTATAGAGAATAATAAGAATGATGGATACAATTTTATTATAACTAATTATTTTTATTCTTATTCAATACATATATGGTATTTTCAATTTTTTTTTCTTAATTCTAATAAATCTTCCTCTAAACATATGATATCCTTTCTTATCGGTTGTATAATAAAAATCAATAGATATTATTCAAATGATTAACCTATAAATTATATTTAATTTATCTTGCACTTATGATGCTTATAGATTATAATAGTAATGAAATAAAAAATTTACGTTAAGAATTTAGATATTATAAATTTATTGGTTTTTAAGAATAAAATTAATAATAAAATAATTAATGAGATCAATTTCTCCAAATGCATATTAACCAAGCAAAGATTCTTTTTCATCTCAAACTCAATAATAGAAAGCAATATTGAAAACACTAGTATATGAAGCAGTTCATGTTCCTGTAAATGAATAGATTGTTCATGTTAATAACATCAGATAAAATATGTCTCCAGCTAATGTTGCTCCAAAATCAGGTTAAACCGTTTATAGAACCTTTTAATCACCAAATAATCGCATTCAACAATAAACAATTTAAAACTTTTAAAACATCTAAACTTTGCCTTAACAAAAAGAATTGAAATTGTAAACTTCTGTTGCTGAATTTTAAATCCCATAATCCTAATCCTAAGAAACATATACTGCAAAAAGTGATGATCGAATTTATAGAGAAGTAGAAGATAGAATTAAAGTCATTAGAAATGAAAGTGATTCATGGAAATAAAAGTTCATTATTAGTGAAAATGACAAAGTTAAATAATTGTAAGATATGGAAAATCATTATAAAATGGAAATGCATAATTAATCCTAACAATTAAAACAATTTTATTAGGTTACTATGAATGAATTAAATGAAGAACTAAAATATTTACAAAGGGAATTAGATAATTAAAATAGGGAAACTGAAAAAGCAAGAAAGAAATGTCATTAATTAGAAATGGACTAATTTGAATTAAAAACATAAATAGTTGATGCTATTGCTTAGAAGGATTAAGCATAAAAAGAATTGGCACGAATGACTAATCTATACCAAAGAATTAAAATTGATATGGATGAAATGAGAACATAATAGGAGATAATGAAAAAAAGAGTTGTTAATGAATAAGAATTAGAAAAACTTAAAGAAATTATCAATTAAAGAGAAAATGAAATTGATGATTTAAAAATAAGAAACTCTTAATTAGAAATATTAAGTATGGATGTTCGAAAGTTGGATACTTAAAATCATGAACTCTAAAATCAATTAGAAATACTCTCATCATAAATATCTATATATGAAACTAAAATTGTAGAATAAAGAAATGAATTTGAAAATTTAAATTCCATAAATAAACGTCTAAATAATCAATTACAAGAAAAGAAAAATCATGAAAATCTTTCAAAAAATATATATGAATAAGAAATGCTCAATTAATTAAATCAAGCTTAAGTCCTCTCCCAAGAAAAAGATAATTAGATTAAATCATTAAATATATAATTCTCTCAATTATAATTAAAGTATGATTAATTACAATAGCAAATAATATCTATTCGAGAGAATTATGAATAAGAATTAACAGAGGCAAGACTGAAGTAAGGAAAATTTGAATAAGAATTCTAAGATGATATTACTTAAAAGTTTTAATTAATGACAAATGAAATCCAACAACTTCAATAAGAAAGATAATAATTATTAAATGATTTGTCGTCATAATCATAACAAAAAGTATTTTATTGAATTATTAGTTAAGATTCGATATGATTAAAAACTGTAACAGTAATAAAAAGAAATCGATAATTTCAATTACTAATCATAATTAAGAAATAAAGAATTAGTTGATAATTAAGAAACAATTAATTAATTGAACAAATAAGTAACAGCTTTGTAGAAAGAAAAGCAAAATCTATAAGAGGAGATTCATGTAAATATTAGTAAATAAACATAGAAATTGCATTATTAGTATTAAGACTTTAATAAAGTTAACTATTAATATGAAAAAGTACTTTGTAGTATTGAAATGGAAGCTTTAAGGGAAAGATTAGATATTGCACTTTCTGAAATAGAATCAATAAAGACTAACTAACTTTCTATGTATAAATATTCCTGATAACTGATTTTGATAATTCTATATAAATTAACTTTATACTCTATAATTGGTTATATAATTTATTTAATGATTCTAAATATTCCACAAAATTAACTCAAAAAAAACTTTAATTTCTTTAATTTAACACAGTTGATTGCTTTATCGATTCTCTCTTCATTTTTGGTGAATACTTTTATTTTATTTTAAGAGGTAACTGGTGTATTAATTTCGACTCTTTTATTATCCACTAATACCATATCGACTTATTTAAGTGAGGAATGTGAAAATGCAGAAAAAAATATATTTATATTATTTATCATAGTTGCTTATTATTATTTAAAGAGACACAATAATATTACAGATTATGGTATAAAACTATGAATTAAGTAAATTTATATTAAAAGTACTATTAAATATATGTTATATATATATATGATTATAAATAGAATATTATATAAATATAGATATCAAATATAATGTGAATCAAAAGTAATTGAATTATTATGATTATGATGATGATTATTATATTAATTAGATGATTAAAATAATCTAAAATAGATATAAATATATACTTTTAATATGATAATTTAGGTTCAATAGATATTTTAGTAGGAATATATTTAGTTAAAATAGAACTTTTTCTTTATGCATTTAATATTTTTTTTCTAATTAATTCACTTGTAGCATTTTATTTTTTAGGAATAATTTTATCTGGTATTTTAACAATAATTGATTTTATTTATTTCTTTAAATTTATTTAATGTAAAGGAGTAGGTATTTTAAATATTGGATGAAAAAAGTTTTAAACTGATTATAATTATAATTATTATTATTATTATTATTATTATTATTATTATTATTATTATTATTATTGTTATTATGAATTTTTCATTATTTTACCTGAAAATGTTCTAATTAATCTTCTATTTGTTGAAATACTTACTTTTCCATCATCTTCCATTTATAATTTTAATATTGAATAAGATTATTTTAAATCATAATCATTACTTACAGAAACATTTACCATCTTTTTATTTTTTACTTTATTCATTATTATTTATTTTGGACTACTTTAAATACTTAAACTAGATTAACTTCTATATTTCATAAATAAAACTGGATCCATTATTATCAAAACTATTTTTCTTATTTAAATAACAATATTTATTTCTTTATTTCTTTATCTAAAAATATATATAAATATGTTAAATATNACATAGAAATTGCATTATTAGTATTAAGACTTTAATAAAGTTAACTATTAATATGAAAAAGTACTTTGTAGTATTGAAATGGAAGCTTTAAGGGAAAGATTAGATATTGCACTTTCTGAAATAGAATCAATAAAGACTAACTAACTTTCTATGTATAAATATTCCTGATAACTGATTTTGATAATTCTATATAAATTAACTTTATACTCTATAATTGGTTATATAATTTATTTAATGATTCTAAATATTCCACAAAATTAACTCAAAAAAAACTTTAATTTCTTTAATTTAACACAGTTGATTGCTTTATCGATTCTCTCTTCATTTTTGGTGAATACTTTTATTTTATTTTAAGAGGTAACTGGTGTATTAATTTCGACTCTTTTATTATCCACTAATACCATATCGACTTATTTAAGTGAGGAATGTGAAAATGCAGAAAAAAATATATTTATATTATTTATCATAGTTGCTTATTATTATTTAAAGAGACACAATAATATTACAGATTATGGTATAAAACTATGAATTAAGTAAATTTATATTAAAAGTACTATTAAATATATGTTATATATATATATGATTATAAATAGAATATTATATAAATATAGATATCAAATATAATGTGAATCAAAAGTAATTGAATTATTATGATTATGATGATGATTATTATATTAATTAGATGATTAAAATAATCTAAAATAGATATAAATATATACTTTTAATATGATAATTTAGGTTCAATAGATATTTTAGTAGGAATATATTTAGTTAAAATAGAACTTTTTCTTTATGCATTTAATATTTTTTTTCTAATTAATTCACTTGTAGCATTTTATTTTTTAGGAATAATTTTATCTGGTATTTTAACAATAATTGATTTTATTTATTTCTTTAAATTTATTTAATGTAAAGGAGTAGGTATTTTAAATATTGGATGAAAAAAGTTTTAAACTGATTATAATTATAATTATTATTATTATTATTATTATTATTATTATTATTATTATTATTATTATTGTTATTATGAATTTTTCATTATTTTACCTGAAAATGTTCTAATTAATCTTCTATTTGTTGAAATACTTACTTTTCCATCATCTTCCATTTATAATTTTAATATTGAATAAGATTATTTTAAATCATAATCATTACTTACAGAAACATTTACCATCTTTTTATTTTTTACTTTATTCATTATTATTTATTTTGGACTACTTTAAATACTTAAACTAGATTAACTTCTATATTTCATAAATAAAACTGGATCCATTATTATCAAAACTATTTTTCTTATTTAAATAACAATATTTATTTCTTTATTTCTTTATCTAAAAATATATATAAATATGTTAAATATTTTTTTTTTAGTAATTTTATAATTATCTTATTTCTGGAAGCGATCAAATAAATACGATTGTTTATAAGATAATTTTATTAGAATAAGTACATTATTAAAATCTGTATAAATATTTTATTTATTTATTTTTCAGTTTCACTAGAATTTCTTTATACGGAAATATTTTTAAGCTAAATATAAACTCTTCAATTAAGGGTATTATATTATTTTAACAAGATATACTTAATTTTTCCCCTTTCCACATTTCTCAAAACCTCATACTAAAAATTGAAGTAAAGTATATTAAGTGGGGTCATGATAATGATAGAGAGGAACCCTTAAGTCTCTCTAAAGGTGAGAGGACGAAGAAAATAATATCAACTAAATATGAAGAAAACATAGAATGAACTCAGTTGTTTTTCAATATCAACAGTTTGATCACAGACATACCATAAATAAGTTTACTTTAGAAATAAATTTAAGAAAAAGGCCATATATTTATGTTTAGAAAAGAGATTTTCACTCCCAATTATTTAGCCAATTTATTTTCAAATAGGCAAAAGATGTAAATCAAGATATATGTTAGTCTTAATAATATGAATATTATTTAAGAATCAAAGATATCATATCATTTGAGATTAAACCAATCAATATATATATTCATTTTTATGAGATTTATAATAATTTTTTTGTCTTATTTAAATAATCTAGACACATGGTTGTTAAAATAATTTAATATTTTTATATATTTATTTATTTTTGATCATCTGAAGACTTCGTTCAAATATTTCTTCTCATCAAACAATTTTTCGATTGATAATTCTGGAATCTCCACATCTTCCCATTTACCTTCTCTATCAAAAAGGTAAAATTCATTTTGCTAATTGTTATAATAAATCATATCGTAATCAACTCTGATAGTGTGCTCAAATAAATTAAATCTGGAACTCTAATTGTAATCACCAAATGTAGTAGGGATAATGTTTTAAGGAACAACCTATCATATAAGACTATTGAAACATATTTAGTATAAATTCCTGAATGAGCCAAGCATTTCAATTACAAAAGATTAGATTCCTTTGAATATGACATCCCAACGACAAAATGTTTTCCGTGATCAAATAAATACCTCTCAAGAAAGATGGGCACAAGTTGAAAGTATTCTTTGAAAGGTACATAAGATTATGAAAAATTATTTAATTTTTAATCTAGTATATGTTAATAATACTAATACCTGAAATTGATGACTTGTATAAAGGAATCAATGTATTTTGATTAATAGAGGAAATGCTAACTTTGTTAATGAAATGATATCTGAACAAGGATTTCATTATTTAATATTAATAATATAAATATTTATAATTCTTATCAATATTATATATTTATTTGNTTTTTTTTTTAGTAATTTTATAATTATCTTATTTCTGGAAGCGATCAAATAAATACGATTGTTTATAAGATAATTTTATTAGAATAAGTACATTATTAAAATCTGTATAAATATTTTATTTATTTATTTTTCAGTTTCACTAGAATTTCTTTATACGGAAATATTTTTAAGCTAAATATAAACTCTTCAATTAAGGGTATTATATTATTTTAACAAGATATACTTAATTTTTCCCCTTTCCACATTTCTCAAAACCTCATACTAAAAATTGAAGTAAAGTATATTAAGTGGGGTCATGATAATGATAGAGAGGAACCCTTAAGTCTCTCTAAAGGTGAGAGGACGAAGAAAATAATATCAACTAAATATGAAGAAAACATAGAATGAACTCAGTTGTTTTTCAATATCAACAGTTTGATCACAGACATACCATAAATAAGTTTACTTTAGAAATAAATTTAAGAAAAAGGCCATATATTTATGTTTAGAAAAGAGATTTTCACTCCCAATTATTTAGCCAATTTATTTTCAAATAGGCAAAAGATGTAAATCAAGATATATGTTAGTCTTAATAATATGAATATTATTTAAGAATCAAAGATATCATATCATTTGAGATTAAACCAATCAATATATATATTCATTTTTATGAGATTTATAATAATTTTTTTGTCTTATTTAAATAATCTAGACACATGGTTGTTAAAATAATTTAATATTTTTATATATTTATTTATTTTTGATCATCTGAAGACTTCGTTCAAATATTTCTTCTCATCAAACAATTTTTCGATTGATAATTCTGGAATCTCCACATCTTCCCATTTACCTTCTCTATCAAAAAGGTAAAATTCATTTTGCTAATTGTTATAATAAATCATATCGTAATCAACTCTGATAGTGTGCTCAAATAAATTAAATCTGGAACTCTAATTGTAATCACCAAATGTAGTAGGGATAATGTTTTAAGGAACAACCTATCATATAAGACTATTGAAACATATTTAGTATAAATTCCTGAATGAGCCAAGCATTTCAATTACAAAAGATTAGATTCCTTTGAATATGACATCCCAACGACAAAATGTTTTCCGTGATCAAATAAATACCTCTCAAGAAAGATGGGCACAAGTTGAAAGTATTCTTTGAAAGGTACATAAGATTATGAAAAATTATTTAATTTTTAATCTAGTATATGTTAATAATACTAATACCTGAAATTGATGACTTGTATAAAGGAATCAATGTATTTTGATTAATAGAGGAAATGCTAACTTTGTTAATGAAATGATATCTGAACAAGGATTTCATTATTTAATATTAATAATATAAATATTTATAATTCTTATCAATATTATATATTTATTTGGAAATGTAGTCTATTTATTTATTATTTTATGTGTTCTTACATAGATCCACATTCTCCATTTAATATTTCTTAATATATATCTAGAGCTTGCTAAAGTAATCCAAGCTTTTCATTTGTCTCTGCCAATTAAATTTCAAATTGATTAATTTCCTCTTTAAGCATATCTTAAATTTTAGCCCAGTTTATTGCTTTTTATAATAACTCTTTAGCTGTTAAATATTCCTTGATGTTATAAAATTCTTTGCTTAGACGAACCATCAAATTTACTTATCCAGTCTAAGAAAATACTAAATATTTAATACATCAGTTTTATTCATTTCTTTCAAAGCAGAATTAGCATCTCTAAACCTTTTACCATCTTTTAAACAATTTAATGCAATATATCCCCAAACTGTATCATTTGTAGGTTCATAAAGATTAGCCATTCTTAGGGCATCTTCTGCCTCTTTATACTTTCCACATTCGTGAGAAGAAATACCCAATCCCATCCAAGACAATGATGAATTTTCATTAATTTAACATGCTTTAGTGAATACAGCTCTAGCATTACCAAATTATTTTTCATTTATATAAATTGAGCCTAACATCAAATACATACTAAAATAAGTATTCTGATCTTCTCTCAATTTTGGATTTGGTAAAACGAATTTAATCTACTTCTCACATTTATCAAAAGATTAACTCTTAAACAACACTTTTATGTATTCAATACGCATTTCTAAATTTTCAGGATTAAACTCTTTAATTATTATAAAATAATACCTAGCATATTTTCAATTAAATCTAAGCACTGAGAATATTCAGATTTGTATAAAAATATCTTTGCTCTTAACATAACAATTTTACTATGAGATTTATCATTTAATAAACTAAGTGATTCTTCAGCTTATTCAAGGAGACTAGCATTTTCAAAAAATTCAACTAACTATAAAATCATCTGATCATATTATTATTCAGTCAATTATGGTTAATTATGAGCATTTTCCCAAGCAATTCTTTGTTATTCTCTTTATTCTAAAATAGCCTTATCTTTTTCAGGTTTATCTGGAACTGGAATTGGAATCTTAATCCAAGGAATATCATATAATTAAGGATCTTCATGATGCATTCCCTCTTATTTAATTAGATTCAGTTGTCTAAGCCATATTCTTTCAGCTTTTTGCATCATGAAATCAGCTAATTCTTAATCTGTTTATTAAATAATAAGATAGTAAAATAGATGATAAATTAAATTATTTGGATCTTTATCTAATAATAATTCCAATATAAATTTAGATTCTTAAACCTTTTCTCTTTTTTAATACAAACCAGCTAATAATAATTAATTTTATTGATTATGACCATCATAAGATAAAGCTTATTCTACAAGTGTTACTGCTTATTCTATTTTTACACACCTAAGACAGAAAAAAGCAAATTTCATTAAAGCATCTTAATCTTTTGGATTAATCAGATTTAAATCTCTTAGATGTTTTTCTACCTCTTCAGTTCTATTTAAAATTTCATATTCTTAACATAATCTCTCAAGTTACTGTTTTCGAGTTTCATTTGTTTTTTCAGTTATGATTTCTTAAAATCCAATATCCTAAATAGTTTTTTTCTTTGAAAGTAAATGAGAAAAATCCTCTTATAATGCTTCTTTATTCTCTCTCACCATATTAATTAATACTTATCTCATTTCTTCCATTAAAAACACATAAAGTTCTGAATAAAATTAATCAGACTAATCTGTTGAAATACCTGTTACTGAACCAGATTTACCAAACTTATCTCTGCATAACTTTACAATACTCTTCTTTATTCTTTCCTTTAAAATCTTGTATTTTCCTGATATATTGAAATCATATAAAAAATGCTCTTTTCTCTATTAAAGAGATTATTTCTTATGAGTCATTAACATATTACTTTACTTTTCATTTTGATATTTGTTTAAGTCTTTCGAAAACATATTAGAATATTCCATCGCTAATGATTCTATTATAACCTGCAAATCACTCCTTAATTCTTCGATACATTGTTAACTTAATGGGATTGGTTGAGGTTCAGGAGCTAAAGGAATCAAATCTTAAAAAGTTGGTTATGGTTCAAATCTTATAGGGGTTATTGGTTGAGATAAATTTATTTTTAAGTACATATACATTGTTTCTATATTAGGTTTTGGTGTTTCAGGAGGAAATTATTCATCCATATACTAAGTAAACTTTATTCTTTAAATAGTTTCAGTTTATCCTTATTTTTAAAATGGTAAATAATCTATCCAGGCTTTAAATACAATGATATTTAAATCATTAATATTTAAAGTTTTAGGTTTTGTTTTCTTAAGTTTTGCTACTTCTTCATCTCCTGGAATGGGAGATTTATATAAAAATATCCATTCGCCTTTATCAACTCTCACTCTCTCTTATTATATCACTAATTTTTATCCAGTTAATTCTTAAGTAAACTAATTTTAATCAAACTTAATGCTAGGACTTTTGTATTGATCTTCTTGAGTCTTATAAAATTATTCTTCCTCTGTCAATGCATCCCATTCTGCCTTAAGTTTCTATTATTCTTCTAGTTCCAGTTATTCTTTAAGAAGCTTCTCTTTCTCCTCTTCTGGTGTTAATTTTGGAGGCTTAGACTATTATTTGATTTTACTTCAATTTTAGCATCTTTTTTCGGTTGTTTTTTAGCCTTTTTTGCTGCTTCTGCTTCTTCAATTTCTCTTTTCTCCTTTTCAGTCAATTCTCTAGGAATTATCTTCCCTCCTGATAATCTTTAATCAAGAAATGCAACTGAGTATTAAAATAAATTAGGATTTGCTTCGTCAGTAACTCTCCATTCCTCCGGAAATGAAAATACACCATTTATAACAAAATTCATCTTTATATTTGTTTTTCTAGCTGGCAATCTTTCGAGAAGTTTTAACTCATTCATGATAATTATTATAAATAAAAAAAATTTTCAAATACTAAAAATTGTCCTATTCCTAATCAGATATAATCCAAATTCAAAGATGTAATTGCTAAATTAAATTGATGCAATAGAATGCAACATTCTGGAAAAATAAATTGGTTTTAATAAAATTTTGTATGGAAGAAATAATATTTCTATTGTAAGCCAGTTTTAATTCACTTATATAGTATTAGGATAGCAAATTAGTAACACTGGCAATGTATGAATCTAAAGAAGATGTTCTTTAAATTTTAAAGTAGCTAAATATTTTTGCAGTTATCTATAGAGATGATTAAATTATTGAATTCAAACAAAAAAATATTTCATGTATTTTCTATTAACATTTGTTTCAATTATCATATTTAACATATTTATATATATTTTTAGATAAAGAAATAAAGAAATAAATATTGTTATTTAAATAAGAAAAATAGTTTTGATAATAATGGATCCAGTTTTATTTATGAAATATAGAAGTTAATCTAGTTTAAGTATTTAAAGTAGTCCAAAATAAATAATAATGAATAAAGTAAAAAATAAAAAGATGGTAAATGTTTCTGTAAGTAATGATTATGATTTAAAATAATCTTATTCAATATTAAAATTATAAATGGAAGATGATGGAAAAGTAAGTATTTCAACAAATAGAAGATTAATTAGAACATTTTCAGGTAAAATAATGAAAAATTCATAATAACAATAATAATAATAATAATAATAATAATAATAATAATAATAATAATAATNGAGTCTTATAAAATTATTCTTCCTCTGTCAATGCATCCCATTCTGCCTTAAGTTTCTATTATTCTTCTAGTTCCAGTTATTCTTTAAGAAGCTTCTCTTTCTCCTCTTCTGGTGTTAATTTTGGAGGCTTAGACTATTATTTGATTTTACTTCAATTTTAGCATCTTTTTTCGGTTGTTTTTTAGCCTTTTTTGCTGCTTCTGCTTCTTCAATTTCTCTTTTCTCCTTTTCAGTCAATTCTCTAGGAATTATCTTCCCTCCTGATAATCTTTAATCAAGAAATGCAACTGAGTATTAAAATAAATTAGGATTTGCTTCGTCAGTAACTCTCCATTCCTCCGGAAATGAAAATACACCATTTATAACAAAATTCATCTTTATATTTGTTTTTCTAGCTGGCAATCTTTCGAGAAGTTTTAACTCATTCATGATAATTATTATAAATAAAAAAAATTTTCAAATACTAAAAATTGTCCTATTCCTAATCAGATATAATCCAAATTCAAAGATGTAATTGCTAAATTAAATTGATGCAATAGAATGCAACATTCTGGAAAAATAAATTGGTTTTAATAAAATTTTGTATGGAAGAAATAATATTTCTATTGTAAGCCAGTTTTAATTCACTTATATAGTATTAGGATAGCAAATTAGTAACACTGGCAATGTATGAATCTAAAGAAGATGTTCTTTAAATTTTAAAGTAGCTAAATATTTTTGCAGTTATCTATAGAGATGATTAAATTATTGAATTCAAACAAAAAAATATTTCATGTATTTTCTATTAACATTTGTTTCAATTATCATATTTAACATATTTATATATATTTTTAGATAAAGAAATAAAGAAATAAATATTGTTATTTAAATAAGAAAAATAGTTTTGATAATAATGGATCCAGTTTTATTTATGAAATATAGAAGTTAATCTAGTTTAAGTATTTAAAGTAGTCCAAAATAAATAATAATGAATAAAGTAAAAAATAAAAAGATGGTAAATGTTTCTGTAAGTAATGATTATGATTTAAAATAATCTTATTCAATATTAAAATTATAAATGGAAGATGATGGAAAAGTAAGTATTTCAACAAATAGAAGATTAATTAGAACATTTTCAGGTAAAATAATGAAAAATTCATAATAACAATAATAATAATAATAATAATAATAATAATAATAATAATAATAATAATAATTATAATTATAATCAGTTTAAAACTTTTTTCATCCAATATTTAAAATACCTACTCCTTTACATTAAATAAATTTAAAGAAATAAATAAAATCAATTATTGTTAAAATACCAGATAAAATTATTCCTAAAAAATAAAATGCTACAAGTGAATTAATTAGAAAAAAAATATTAAATGCATAAAGAAAAAGTTCTATTTTAACTAAATATATTCCTACTAAAATATCTATTGAACCTAAATTATCATATTAAAAGTATATATTTATATCTATTTTAGATTATTTTAATCATCTAATTAATATAATAATCATCATCATAATCATAATAATTCAATTACTTTTGATTCACATTATATTTGATATCTATATTTATATAATATTCTATTTATAATCATATATATATATATAACATATATTTAATAATTCAAAGTTAATTCTTTTATATTTAAAATTAAAATTGAATATTATTAATAAAAAAAAATACTTATTGTAATATATGTATATTTATATACTCTTCATTGATATCAAATCAAATTCAAGAGTTTCTTTATTTTTGATATTTTGTATTCTAATGAATCCTCTTCTTTCCAATCGAAAAAATCAAAATCTATGACATTTTGAGTTTCAAGTGCTTTCAAATGTCTTTATTTATGTATGACAATACCTATATTGCATCATGGTGTTAAATGATTTTTATTTAATTTATCCATCCAAAGTTGATATAAAATGTAGTGGCCCATTACAATTAATTACATAATTGTCCATCACTTTAAAATCAATATCATAAATTAGAACTTTTTAAAATTTAAGGAATTTTAATTACAATTTTTATAGTATCTAAATAATTTCAGTTTCTAAAAGAGTTTAAGTTCGACTAATAGAATCCTCTCTTAATCTTAAAAGATAAGGAAAATTTTCATTTTCAAAATAATCAATTGATACTCCAATTTTTTTTCTTTGAAGGATTTATCTACATACTTAATAATCCCTCTTTAGAAATTAGAAATACATTTAAAAAGGAGTATGAGGATTACAGGAGAGTTGATTTAAAGGTTAATTGATAATTTCAGGATAAAGATTAAACATCATTTAAGCAAATTAGAATGTAAATTTAGACAAGTATATATGTTTTTATTATTTTCCAAGTTTGTAATATAAAATATCTAGTAGTTTAATGAGATGTTCTTCTTAAAATAAACCAATTTAATATAAATTGCTAGCAATATGCAAGTATTATACATAATCTTAGATTACAATAGTAGTTAAATTATGAGTCATAGCATCACAAGCTTTAGATGACCAATAATTATTCTGTCTTCCCAATTTGTATAAGCAATGTTAGATAGAATGAAATTATTTAAGAGTGATTTAATCTTCTTAGTCTTTCAATTATTTTAAAATAGATGATACAATCTTTTCATCATCAAGTAATACATTACTCATTGCTAAAAATGCTTAAATTAAAGTAGGTATATCCATAGCCATATCTTCTATACGATCTCTAATCTAAATCAAGCAATTTTATGAAAATTCCTTAACAATATTTCCACAATTTCTTCTTTCGTGAAATCCTGCAATGAAAATCAATTTATATAAAAGTTCATCATTAGAGTCATTTTTCAATCGTTAGGTTTGAAAATAATTGGAATTAGTGATTAAGTGTTTGAATAATTCAAGTGGAGTGGCAAATTGATATTTATTTTGCAAAAATATCCTTGCCGTATTAAATATGGGATTATTCATAGGATTAGATATTAATAAATTATTGTTATAAACTTAAATTATAAAAAGTAGTTAAAAAATTTTATATACCCACATTCATCTACTTCATAGCTTTTTCATGCTAGAGCTATTTACGAATTTGGCTTTGATAGGAGAGATAAACTTTGGAGCAAAAACAGGTACACTCAATTAAGGATTTTCTTATACAATTGTTCTTTAACTCATTGAATAGGATCTTTAGAAACTATTATTTATAGAAGATGGTTATCCAGAAATCTAAGATTCATTCTCTTCTAATATAATTGATTGCTATTTTTATAATTGATTGTGATCTTATTCAACTAATTCTTTTTGAGATTCTTAACTTTTTAAGCTTTATCTTCTCTTCCATTCTTCATAATAAGGATTAACTTTTTTTTAAGTTTTCTCTACAATGACTGATTAGGATAACTTTGAGTCATATTGTCTCTTTTTTTCAACATCAAAAGAAAATTATTAAAATTTTATATCTCCTTAATTATTTAATTATTGATCATTAGTTTATGTTAGATAGGCAGGTAGGATATTAGAATTTTTGGATTCTGCCTTCTTTTATAATTCCTATTATTATTATTTTTCAAGCCATGCTGAATAGTAAGGATTTGTTGACTTTTTAGGATTAGAAACTAAAATTTCACTTTAAGTTTTTCTATCATCATTTTTTTCTCGTCTTAATTTTTCAACTTCAGCTTATTGTCTTTTTAATTCTTCAATTTCAGATTATTTCCATTATTTAATTAGTTTCTGCTATTTTTATTTTTGTATCATTAGTATTTCTTATTATGTTGGTATGAGTAAAAATTAAGATTTAACACTGCTTGTCATAGATTGATTTAATTTACTCATAGATTGATTTAATCTATCTTCTTATTATTGAGCTTTAGGTTTAACAGATTATGATTTTTACTGAAGTTTTTTCTCACAATCAATTTTTTAAGGAGTATTTTTTTGAGATTTATTTGTTACGATAGATTGCGAAAGATTCGTTGATTTTGAGCCTAACATAGATTATTATTATTAGCATTATTATTAAATTGGTTTGTTCTCTATTATTCCACATTTATACCGTTCTAATGTTTGTAATGCTGATAAACTATGTTTATGTATGGCTGGATTGAAAAAGATCTATAATCTAATCATAATGTTATACATTTTCTAAATCTCTACCTTTATATGTATTTAAAGGACCTCTTCCTCCAGGATGTTTATCTATGAAATCCGTCAAATCATAAACTGAGTTATGATAAACATAGAGTAATCTTTTTTCAAACTGTTATACTTATCAATATTACCTATTTGATTTTGATTGCTCAATCTAAAAGGCAGCAAAGGAAGGGTAACTTTTAAAGCTTTTATACATATTAATAAAAATTATGATCATAAATCTTGATAATGAACATATAATAACAAATTCGAATGATTTAAAATTAAGTTTATTATGCTTTTATTTTATTCAATACTATATCACAATCTAATTATATTTGAATTTCAATTATCAAGAAAATACAAAAGTAAGAAAAAGAATACAAATTTTTAAGTATTTTATATCTTATATATACACTTAATTAGAGATACTATTATTATTTTAATTAAACAGATTAATATAATATTATTGAAATAAAAATCAAGCTCATTAATTGAGTATTCATAGTATTTAAACAAATTAAAAATATCTTTTATTTAGTATATATAAATTAGAATATATTTTACAAGATATTTGTAATTTTAAGATGAAAAGTGAGTGAATCAAAGATTAAGTACATTACTTTAGAGAATTAATACATAAATATAGGAAATTATTATTAAGAATCTTTATATATATTGATAATTTTTGTAAAGAGATTATTAAATTTATTTGTATAATTCCTATTATATTATTATTAAATTATGCTAATGAATTATTGAATTCAAATACCGATATGATGTGGTGATGTGAAATTTAAATTTTTATTTTTTTATGAATCCATTAAGGCCAATAAGAGTTTAAGAGGCATACCGCTTTTCTTAATTGGGTGTTAGTCAAACCAATTTCAAATTTGGTTAAATTTTCTTCGAATCTGATAAATATATCACAATCAGAGAGACAGCACCAAATGGAGACACTTAATTATTGCAATTCAATTTTGAGACAAAACAATTGATTTCTCGTAAGCCAAACAAGGCAGACTCTGCTATAATGCATCCAGAAAAGAATATTATAGCCCTAAGAGCAGCAGGTGAATAGCCAAATTCAACCGTGATCTAAATCTTCAATTTGGATGAGAAATAGAGAATAAAAAATGTTGAAGTCAATGAGACTATAGTATTTTGGAGATGGGTAAACCAATAAAAATTAGCATACGTTACTCCAACAGCAGTTTATCATATCAATATTACAAACCCTGGTGAATAATAAGTTAAGGTTATGGATAGGTAACATATATAATCATAATAAAATTAGATCTGGAGCATTATCATCAGAGAATCCAGTATAAATCATTGGATATGGATTAGAAGGAAATGAAAAATGGTGTGCATTATATGGTATTTCAACACCAGATGGAGGTAGAACAATTAATGGTCACATACAATTATTTTTGATTGAATAAGCAAAATAATAAATTTTAGAAGGACATTGTTGTTGTTTTGGAGATGCTTTGATTCATACAGATGACTATAAAAGCAGTTTATTCTGTTTTGTAGAGAGAAAGTCTGGTGAAACAACAAGCAGATTACATATCTCAGAAATTGGAGTACCACCTAATGGATTCTAAAAATACAAAAGATAAGTTGAAGTTTAAACTGATCCAAATTATCCAACAGATTTCCCAGTCTTAATGCATATCAATTAAAGATATGGATTAATCTATGTAATAAGCAAATATTCATTTTTGACTGTATATGAATTAAGCACAGCTAGTTTGATATTTAGAGAGGTATAATCTAATATTTATAATCCAATAGAGAATCTGTAATGAAAATGTTTTCGTAGGTGCCCCAAATGTTAATTAAGGATAATATCATATTATTGGTAAGGAAGGTATAGTCTATACAATTTCTGTAAATGATGACTAATTAGTATCTTTCTTAATTAATACTTGCAGACATATTCCAGATGTTATTCAATTGGGATTCCGTTTGGCTAGTAGATATAAGCTTCCTGGAGCAGAAAATATGTTTGTTGATTAATTCAATAAAGCTATTTTAACTGGTGATGCTTAAAGTGCTGCTAAAATTGCTGCTAGTGCTCCTGGAACAGTTCTTAGAAATCCAGAAAGTATTGCTAAATTCAAATAAATGTAATAATAACCAGGATAACCTTAACCACTTATTATCTATTTCCAAACTTTGTTAGAAAAAGGAACATTAAATAAATTTGAAGCTATAGAATTGTGTGGACCAATTTTATAATAAGGAAGAAAACAATTCGTTGAATAATGGATTGCTTAAAATAAATTAGAACCATCAGATGAATTGGGAGATCTTTTAAAAAAATATGATGTCAATTTAGCTATTCAAATCTATAAATTATCTAAATCATATTAAAAATTAGCATAATGTTATATGGAAACTGGATAAATTGAATTAGCTATGCAATTACAATAATAATTTGGAGTATCTACAGATTATATGGCTATGTTAAGAAATATTATGATGTCATCTCCAGAATAAGCTTTAGCTATGGCTAAATCTTTATATCAAAGAGACCAAAGCATCAATGTTCATTAAATTGCAGAATTATTTGAATAATTCTAAAGATTACCAGAAATGACAGCCTTCTTAGTTGAGTGTATGAAAAACAATAGAGCAGAAGATGGGCCACTCTAAACTAAAGTTTTATGCTTGAATTTATAAGCTGCCGCTCAAGTTGCTGATGCCATCTTATCAATGAACATCTGGACATAATTTGATAGAATTAGAGTTGCCTAACTATGTGAATAAAAAGGCCTTTATCAAAGAGCTCTGGAAAATTATTCTGATCCTAAAGATGTTAAAAGAGTTATTCTTAATACTCATGCTCTCCCTCCTGAATTCCTTATCAATTTCTTATCCAGAGTTGATCCTGCATTAACATTATAATGCCTTTAAGATTTATTAAGACACAATAGATAGAACTTATAAGTGGTTGTTAATGTTGCAGTGTAAAACAATTAAAGATTAACAATTCCTGCCTGCATAAAGGTCTTTGAATCAGTTAGTGCATTTGAAGGAGTCTACTTATTTTTAGGATCTTTGATTAATACAACATCTGATAAGGATATCTATTATAAATATATTGAAGCTGCTGCTAAATGCAATTAAATTAAAGAATTAGAAAGGGTTATTACAGAAAAAGGAGATTGTTATGATGCAGATAAAGTTAAAAACTATTTGAAGGAATAAAAATTATCTGATCCAAGACCATTGATTTTCTTATGTGATATGAATGGATTTGTTGATGAATTGACTAGATATCTACATAAAAATGGATTTACTAGATATATTGAAATCTACATATTCAAAGTAAATCCAAATGCTGCTCCTGCAGTTTTTGGTACATTAATTGATTTGGAATGTGATGAAGTTTATTTGAAATAATTGTTGTATAATATTCGTGGAATGTGTCCAATTGAACCAACTGTTGAGGAATTTGAAAAAAGAAATAAACTTAGAGTCTTAGAATAATGGCTTGAAGCTAGAGTTACTGAAGGCAATCAAATTCCAGCCATTCACAATGCATTAGCTAAAATAAAGATTGATACATCATAAGATCCTGATGGATTCTTGATTAATAATCAATTTTATGATGCAAAGGCTGTTGGTAAATTCTGCGAAGAAAGAGATCCATAATTAGCAGTTCTAGCTTATAAAAGAGCATGGGGACAATGTGATTAAGAATTAATTAATTTAACAAATAAAAATGAAATGTACAGAGTTTAAGCCAAATATCTAGTAGAAAGATAAGATGTTGATTTATGGGCTGGAGTATTATAAGAAACAAATCCACATAGAAAAAATTTGATTGACTATGTAATTTAAGCATTACAAGACTCAAAAAATGTTGATGAAGTTTAAGCAGCTGTCAAAGCATTTGTATTGGCAAAAATTCCTTATGAATTATTAGGTTTATTAGAGAAATTAGTATTACATAATCCAGAATTCATGTAATATAAATAATTATAAAATTTGTTAATTATTACAGCTATTTAAAGTGATACAAGCAAAGTATTGGATTACATTAATAGATTGGATAAATTTGATCCATAAATTATAGCATAACATTGTTTGAATGAAGAATATAAATTGTATGAAGAAGCTTATGCTGTCTTTAAGAAATTTAATTTACATATTGAAGCTGTTAATGTATTACTCAGAAATTTGGGTAGCATTCCAAGAGCTCATGAATATGCTTAATTTGCTAGTTCACCTGAAGTTTGGTCATTATTAGCTGAGGCTTACTTTAATTAAGGATAAACCAATGAATCAATTGATTGTTATATTAAGGCTAATGATTCAAGTGCATTCTTAAACATAATTAATGTGGCTGAATAAGAAGAGAAATATGAATTATTAGTCAAATATTTATTAATGTGTAGATAAACAGTCAAGGATGTTAACATTGATAATTCATTAATCTATTGTTATGNTTTGAATCAGTTAGTGCATTTGAAGGAGTCTACTTATTTTTAGGATCTTTGATTAATACAACATCTGATAAGGATATCTATTATAAATATATTGAAGCTGCTGCTAAATGCAATTAAATTAAAGAATTAGAGAGAGTTATTACAGAAAAAGGAGATTGTTATGATGCAGATAAAGTTAAAAATTATTTGAAGGAATAAAAATTATCTGATCCAAGACCATTGATTTTCTTATGTGATATGAATGGATTTGTTGATGAATTGACTAGATATCTACATAAAAATGGATTTACTAGATATATTGAAATCTACATATTCAAAGTAAATCCAAATGCTGCTCCTGCAGTTTTTGGTACATTAATTGATTTGGAATGTGATGAAGTTTATTTGAAATAATTGTTGTATAATATTCGTGGAATGTGTCCAATTGAACCAACTGTTGAGGAATTTGAAAAAAGAAATAAACTTAGAGTCTTAGAATAATGGCTTGAAGCTAGAGTTACTGAAGGCAATCAAATTCCAGCCATTCACAATGCATTAGCTAAAATAAAGATTGATACATCATAAGATCCTGATGGATTCTTGATTAATAATCAATTTTATGATGCAAAGGCTGTTGGTAAATTCTGTGAAGAAAGAGATCCATAATTAGCAGTTCTAGCTTATAAAAGAGCATGGGGACAATGTGATTAAGAATTGATTAATTTAACAAATAAAAATGAAATGTACAGAGTTTAAGCCAAATATCTAGTAGAAAGATAAGATGTTGATTTATGGGCTGGAGTATTATAAGAAACAAATCCACATAGAAAAAATTTGATTGACTATGTAATTTAAGCATTACAAGACTCAAAAAATGTAGATGAAGTTTAAGCAGCTGTCAAAGCATTTGTATTGGCAAAAATTCCTTATGAATTATTAGGTTTATTAGAGAAATTAGTATTACATAATCCAGAATTCATGTAATATAAATAATTATAAAATTTGTTAATTATTACAGCTATTTAAAGTGATACAAGCAAAGTATTGGATTACATTAATAGATTGGATAAATTTGATCCATAAATTATAGCATAACATTGTTTGAATGAAGAATATAAATTGTATGAAGAAGCTTATGCTGTCTTTAAGAAATTTAATTTACATATTGAAGCTGTTAATGTATTACTCAGAAATTTGGGTAGCATTCCAAGAGCTCATGAATATGCTTAATTTGCTAGTTCACCTGAAGTTTGGTCATTATTAGCTGAGGCTTACTTTAATTAAGGATAAACCAATGAATCAATTGATTGTTATATTAAGGCTAATGATTCAAGTGCATTCTTAAACATAATTAATGTGGCTGAATAAGAAGAGAAATATGAATTATTAGTCAAATATTTATTAATGTGTAGATAAACAGTCAAGGATGTTAACATTGATAATTCATTAATCTATTGTTATGCTAAATTAGATAAGAATTTAGATATTGAATCTTTAATTTAATCAAGCAATTCAGCTGATTTAATTAAAGTAGGAGAGAGATGTTATGATTAATAATTATATGAAGCAGCTAAGATCTTATTTACAGCACTTAAAAATAATGCAAGAATAGCATCTTGTTTGGTTAGATTAAAATAATTTAATAAAGCAATTGAAGCAGCTTAAAAGGCTAATACATCAAAGACATGGAAAGAATTATGTTTTGCTTGTGTTGAAGCATCTGAATTTAAATATGCTTCAATTTCTGCTTAGAACATTATCATAGTACCAGATATGTTGGAATCTTTGATTAAATAATATGAAGAATATAATGCATAAGAAGAAATGATAATATTATTGGAAAATGCTTTAGGTATGTAAAGAGCACATGTTGGTATCTTTACAGAATTAGCAGTTCTTTATTGTCATTATAAATAAAAGAAAGTTATGGAACATTGTAGATAATATTTCTAAAAGATGAACATATTGAAAGTTCTAAGAACTTGTGAAAAGATGTGTCTTTGGAGTGAAGCTGTTTATTTACATTAACATTATGATTAACCAGATAATGCTATCAATATTATGATTGAACATTCGCCAACTGCATTCTCTCATGATGTTCTAGTTATGTTACTCTAAAAGATTACTAATACAGATTTGTATTACAAATGTATTCTCTTTTATCTTGAAGAATAACCAGAATAAATTAATGATTTATTAAGAAGTATTCAATCTAAGATTGATTTAAGCAAATTTGTTAAATTAATGAAAAATACTGGTTATTTAGCTTTGACATTACCATTTTTATAACAAATTCAAAATTCAAATAATAAAGATGTTAATGATGCCTTAAATCAACTCTATTTAGATATTGAAGATTATGAAAATCTTAGAGAATCTGTTAAAAATTATGAAAACTTTGACTAATTGGCTTTAGCCTAAAAGACTTAATCTCATGAATTAGTTGAATTTAGAAGAATAGCTGCTTATTTATATAGAAAGATCTAAAAATTTGATTTATCTATGAACTTGAGTAAATAAGACTAAATGTACAGAGATGCAATCGAAACAGCTTAAGAATCTTAGAATGTTAAGTTAGTCTATGAATTATTGGAATTCTTCATATAAAATAAGGAGAGTGAATTCTTTACTGTGTGTCTTTACACATGCTATGATTTATTGAAACCAGATTAAGTTATGGAATTAACTTGGAGATCAGGCCTTATGGAATTTGCTATGCCATACTTCATTTAAATTACTTGGGAATTGACTCATAAGATAGAATATGTATAAAAGAAACATGAGGACAGAGAAAAGAAGGTATAATTTATATTAATTAAAATAGGAAATTCAAACAGCCTAATAATAATAATCATAAGCTTTACCAATAGCTTAAGATTTCTTATTGAACTAAGGTCAATTAATGTTGGGTCCACCAAGTTAGATGAGTAGTAGCAATTTAGGTTTTGGATAGCCTTCAGGTTATGGATAGCCTCCAGGATTTACAAATTCTTCAATGAATTAAGCTCCTATGGGTTATGGAGGATAACAATTTGGATCATATTAGCCACCTGGTTTTTGACCAAATTAAATATATTAAAATAAAACATATATATAATTTTATTTCNTTTGCTTGTGTTGAAGCATCTGAATTTAAATATGCTTCAATTTCTGCTTAGAACATTATCATAGTACCAGATATGTTGGAATCTTTGATTAAATAATATGAAGAATATAATGCATAAGAAGAAATGATAATATTATTGGAAAATGCTTTAGGTATGTAAAGAGCACATGTTGGTATCTTTACAGAATTAGCAGTTCTTTATTGTCATTATAAATAAAAGAAAGTTATGGAACATTGTAGATAATATTTCTAAAAGATGAACATATTGAAAGTTCTAAGAACTTGTGAAAAGATGTGTCTTTGGAGTGAAGCTGTTTATTTACATTAACATTATGATTAACCAGATAATGCTATCAATATTATGATTGAACATTCACCAACTGCATTCTCACATGATGTTCTAGTTATGTTACTCTAAAAGATTACTAATACAGATTTGTATTACAAATGTATTCTCTTTTATCTTGAAGAATAACCAGAATAAATTAATGATTTATTAAGAAGTATTCAATCTAAGATTGATTTAAGCAAATTTGTTAAATTAATGAAGAATACTGGTTATTTAGCTTTGACATTACCATTTTTATAACAAATTCAAAATTCAAATAATAAAGATGTTAATGATGCCTTAAATCAACTCTATTTAGATATTGAAGATTATGAAAATCTTAGAGAATCTGTTAAAAATTATGAAAACTTTGACTAATTGGCTTTAGCCTAAAAGACTTAATCTCATGAATTAGTTGAATTTAGAAGAATAGCTGCTTATTTATATAGAAAGATCTAGAAATATGATTTATCAATGAACTTAAGTAAATAAGACTAAATGTACAGAGATGCAGTTGAAACAGCTTAAGAATCATAGAATGTAAAATTAGTCTATGATTTATTGGAATTCTTCATTTAAAATAAAGAGAATGAATTCTTTACTGTTTGTCTTTACACATGTTATGATTTATTGAAACCAGATTAAGTTATGGAATTAACTTGGAGATCAGGTCTTATGGAATTTGCTATGCCATACTTCATTTAAATTACTTGGGAATTGACTCATAAGATTGAATATGTTTAAAAGAAGCATGAGGATAGAGAAAAGAAGGTAAAATTTATATTAATAAAAATAGGAAATTCAAACAGCATAATAATAATAGTCATAAGCTTTACCAATGGCTTAAGATTTCTTATTAAATTAAGGCTAATTAATGTTGGGTCCACCAAGTTAGATGAGTAATAGTAATTTAGGTTTTGGATAACCTTCAGGTTATGGATAGCCTTCAGGATTTACAAATTCTTAAATGAATTAGGCTCCTATGGGTTATGGAGGATAACAATTTGGATCATATTAGCCACCTGGTTTTTGACCAAATTAAATATATTAAAATAAAACATATATAAAATTTTATTTCATATGATTATAGATTTTCTGGGGGGCACAAATTCATTTGATGTAAAAAATGATTTAGTTGCTTTTGAATAAGGAAACAGTTTATTATTGCTTGATACTACAAATAATTCTAAAGTTTAAATGCATGGTCATGTAAATTAGATTATGGCAATCTGTTTTTGTGGATAGAATCTTATTGCATCTGTAAGTATGGGATTTAAGAATCATCTATAAATATCAGAATTTGACACTTTTAATCGAACCTTCGATGATTATCTTCCTGATACAGATAAAAAAACAGTTAATATATTTATGGAGAATATTAATAATTAATTGATTCTAATTGAAGTTAATACAGGTCATCGTATACTTGTTTATGACATTCAATAATATAAATTACTTTTTATTACTGATTTAGATAATCTGAATCCTTGTTATGGATTTTCTTATTTACCTACAAAACCAAAATCTAAAATATGTTTGATGTGTAATGGATAGATAACTCTTTGGAACTTAGCATCAAATAATGTTCAAGTTACAAATAGAATAACATTAAAGAATATAAAGCATATGGACACAAACAAATCATTAAATTTAATTATTCTAATATTGGTGACAGGAGATTTATATATTTTGAATTCAGATGGAGATCTGATTTCTTAATTAAAAGCTCCAGATTAAGAATTTACTGCATCTACTAGTTATGAATAATACTTATATTTATCTACAAGGAGTGGTAAAATATTTATATATGAAATATCAACCCTTAAATTTGTAACAGAAATTCATGCTAATGATACTTGTTATTGTATATAATTAAAACACTCTAATCAACTATTGGTTTTCTCATTAAACGATTCTAACTTAATTACAATGGATATCAATAAAAGAATAATATTAGATTAGTAAAATGGCCATGGAGGAAGAATTAATTAAGTTTCTTGGGATCCTATATAAAGTAATCAATTTTATTCCTGTTCAAATGATGGCTCTTTTGGAGTCTCTAATTCTCGTGGAGATAAATTCTCAATGAATAAATATTATATTGGGTAATTTCAAACTAAAATTAAGTGTTGTGCAATTGACAATTATAGAGATGATATCTATTTAGGAGACAATAAAGGATAATTGTTTGTCTTCTCTTTAATGGATGTATAATTTCGAAGATAAATTTCTTTAACTTAAAATCTAGGAATTAAGGAAATGTAGTTTAGTCCAGCTTATCAGTATTTGGGAGTAGCATTTAAAAATGGATTTACAATTATTTTAGATTGTGAAAATTAACTAAAGCCTGTATTGAAATTGGAAGATAAACTTGAAAATATATCATATGTTGGAATCAAATTATTTCAATTAGAATTTGACATTGTTAAAGTTAACACTCAAGCATATTCAACATCTTATATTCCAAGAAATGACAAATCATTTAATTCATTAACTATATATAATCATAATTCTGTAAGAAGACATCAAATTGATAAAGCTAATTCTTAATTATCAGCTTTAGCTTTAAGTATATATACAATTGAAGGCACAATATTTGGATTTGATTTACATCCTTCAAAAGATTACATTCTAATTCTATCGAATTATGGATTTGTTTATATATATAAAATATAAAGTTCAGAAAAGAGAGCAAAAATAACTGTACCTCCTTTTTCAAGACATTTAAAAATTGATAAATCTGGATTATACTTTGCTGTTGCTCATTTACCATTAGTTAATGCATCAGAAAAATAATTCATAGAAATACCTTCAATTGAATTCTTAACTAAAAATGCTAAAATAAATAAAAAGATGCTACCAACTAATATAAGAATATATGAATGTGGAACAGGTTAAGTGGCTGAATAAATTAATAGAATTTTCAGTATAGTTTCATTAGACTTTTCTAATGATGGATAATATTTGTTAGTTGGAGGTAAAAAAGGAAAGATTTCATTGTGGGGATTAAGCTAAGATTTAGTTTAAAGTGCAGAAGATGTCATTAAAGATATGAAACTGAATCCATTTTTTTGGAGAGATTTCTAGATTTATATTGATGATGAAGAGATTTAAGAATAAGACATTTTAGATTTAGATTTATTAGCTAAGAAATTACCAAATAAGCCAATTGTATAAAGTTAAAAATATCAACAGATTGTTAATCCACATACAATGTATATTATTTTAGTATTATTAGATTGTAAAATCCAGGTAGTTCTAGTTCAAGATATGAATTATATTGATGATAATATAAAACTCATTTTTTTATTGATAATAATTATAAAAAAAAATGATTAAATTGGGGCACATGCTTGCATAAGAGTAAGCTAAACTAAAATCAGAACTTAAGGCTGCCTAGAAGTAAAGAACAACTAGAAATACAACATCATCTACATTGTAATAAGCACACTAACAATAAGTTATCCCAACATATCCAAAACGTCCACTTTATTATATAAGTCTTAAGTGAATCCCTCTAATAATACAGATTTTATTAGTTAGAATTGTTCTCCTATTTATTCACCAAAATTACTTACTCATCCTTCTGATCCAGATCCTTCATTTAGTTTTAACAAAAATATTCATTCATCATATAGAAATAAACTTGAAACTGTTTAATTACCACTCAACAAGCCTCCTTTAAGAAGGGGCAATAAAATAACCAATTTAAGAAATTTAAACAATAATAGTATTGCCTAATTAAATCCACTTAAGGGAGATGAATCAAAAGAAAAATTATTATAGCAAACTCACTTTTTATGTGCTATTATGTAATAATCTCATAGTGCAACTGGGAAAATAGTAGCTAACTTTTTGAATGGATAATTAGAAAAAAATAGTTATGAATCAATTATATAAATGGAAAAGTCTGCATAAGCACTATAATAATCTGCTAAGGAAATGTCTAAGGCATTATTTATTTCTGATGATGAAGGGGAATTTTTAAATCTTTAAAATAAATTCATCGATTAGATTAGGTTTTCTAAATATAGAAAACCAAATTAAGAAAAAAATATTGTTTTTAAAAGAAATTATGGTTAAAAACATGAGATGATGATAGATTAAGTAGCTTCTTAAAGATAAAAGACAGATGAAAATTAAGATTTTGATGTTTTTATTCCTAAATCATAAATGGACTAATTTTTTTAGTAATAATTCATAAATAATTTAGAATAATTCAAGATAAAATTGATGGAAGGATGAAGGAATAGACTGAATAATTAATAAAAGATGAATAAAAATTAATTAATGGAATGATTACAAATGTTAAAAAGTTTAGAGAAGATATTAGAGAAGTTAAATATACAATGAATCATGTTAGAAAAAATAAAAAGGCTTTGTAACCATAATAATAATAAGTATCTGCATATAGAACATTAAAAACTTTAAGAACACTAAAATCTTAATCATCAACAAGATTATAGAGTCCAAAAACTCAAAGATTAGATGAAGAAGCAAAGGCAGATCTAAGATTAAGAGTAATGAAAGCACTTAGAAATTTTATGGATAAATTAAAGAGATTTAATATAACTTTAAATGATGTTGTTAATAATTAAGTATTCCCATCTTAAGCATATGAAAGACCTAATAGTGTTGAATTTTTTAGGTAAGTAAAAGCAGATAATATAAGAGAAATTGAAAGTATGTTAAGAGATTGTCGTTATCATGTTTATGATCGAGATAACTAATAGAAAACACCTTTACATCATGCTGTTAGTAATAATTCAATAGAAGTTATAAAGTTATTAGTTGAAAATGGTGCTGATTTAGATGCTAGAGATATGAGTATAAATTATAATAATATAATTATTAGTGGGTAGAACTCCTTTGCATATAGCTGCCAAAAATAATAATTGTGATACTGTTAGAGTATTATTAGTTTATTAAGCAAATCCATCAATTAAAACAGTTGCAGGAAAAACTGCTTAAGATCTGACAGAAATGCCAGTAATAAAAGCTTTAGTGAAAAATGCAAAAAAAGTAATATTTCACTTATTTTAAGCTTCATTTTATGATGAATTTGTAACCATCTAAAAAAAAAAAGGATTTCTGGGTTGAAAGAGCAATAGTGTACTTTTAAGAAGATGACCCAGAAAAGATTCTAAAATTACAGCTATATAAGAATTAAGCAAAATTATTTTTATCATGATTATTATTTGTTTCTAATTTACTATTTTACTAATAAAATTATGAAACTTTTGATATATATATTTTTTATTGAGTTTAATCTTAATTTCTATAATTAAAGCTATTTTTTGAATTATTTATTGTTTATTATAAACTATCTAATTTATTTTATTTTATATTACTATTTTTTATTTAAATATTACAATTTAAGTAGTGTTTAATTCATTTAACATTAGATTTATTTAGTGTATTAATTTTTATGAGATTTTAAGTGATATTTTGTTCTTTATTATAATTAATTTATACATTAATTATTTAATTTCAAATTCTCAAATGAAAGAGGCTTCAAACATTAATGATGAGAAAAGACCTTTAGCTTCAATACCTCTTCAAACGTTTTTATATTTTGATTATATTTTCACAGTATGGTACTTATTAATATAATAGTATATCTATTTCATAATAGAAATCATAGTGTTTATTTATAAAGGATATGGACTATTTTATCCACCAAATAAGATAGGGATAGAAATATTTTTACAATTTTTGCTAGCATTCTGTTAATTTCCAAGATTGATATTGGGATCAATAGGAAATAAAACTGAATCTCCATCTCAAATTTTATGGTATTATAATTGAATATTTTAGGTTTGTATTACTCATTTTTCCATGCATTTTCTTTTACATATTTTTTATTGTCTTATAAACTTATGTTGTAATTTTGGAGATAATAATAAATGTAATAGCATTAATATTTATTGTCTTTGAATTATTATTTAGTTTGTCTGCATTTTTAACCTTTAAAAATTATGAAAAACAACAATGATTTGATAATTATATTTTACAAAATGATCATATTATATTTTTATTTATAATAATGGATGAAGATAGTCATATAATTATTGATGATATTACAAGTCTGTCTCATGAAATCTAAGTAGATGAAACATTAATAAAACAATATAAAAAATAAAGATTATTGGGAGTTGGAGCATATGGAAAAGCATACCTTGTGACTTCTGATGACGAAAATTAGATTAAATATGTTATGAAAGTATTACCTCAATCAGCTTCAGCTAAAAAGGAGGCTTTAATATTATAAAATTTGAGACATGATAATATAATCTAATATGTAGAAACATTTATAGATAGTAAAAATAGATTATGCATAATAATGGAATATGCCAATAGTATTATATAAAAAAATAATATCATTAGATGGGACATTAGGCTAATACATAAAATCAAGACAATAACCATTACCAGAAACATAAATTATTGATTGGTTTACTTAATTATGTTTAGCAATTTAATGTGTTCATTCATAAAGAATTATCCATAGAGACATAAAAGCAGAGAATGTATTTTTACATGATGACAAATTGAAATTAGGAGATTTTGGAATTGCAAGATCTGTAGAATAGACTCTTGCAACAACTTTTATAGGAACTCCTTATTATTTATCACCTGAAATCATATAAAATTAACCTTATTCTTATAAAAGTGATATATGGGCATTAGGAGTATTACTTTATGAAATGTGCACATTTAAATATCCTTTTTAAGCTGAATCATTACCAGGTCTGGCTACTAAAATAATGAAAGGAAAAATTTAACCTATAAGTGCTTAAGTTTATTCATAAAATATGAAAAATCTAATATAAAATTTATTATAGATTGATCAAAATAAAAGACCAACCATAGAATAAATTTTATGTATATTTTAATTATTAGATAGAAAATCAAATAATCTAAAATAGAATTAAATAATTAAATATTAAATAGTAACCTATAACAAAGATAGCAATATAACCAATATAAAGTATGATATATTGTTAATCTAGAGAAATAGTAGCATTAGGTTATTATAAAAAAGGATGAATACAAATAATAAAAAAAGTAAACAAGAGAAGAGTAAACCAAATTTATGAAATAAGATATATAAAAAAAAGTATTGATTATTATTAAAATATTTAGAAAACTTAATAGTAATAGTAGAAACCTTAAGAATTAATTATTGAATCATTTGGTCAACCAAAAAAATAAGATTAATAATAAAGTGAAAAGAAAATTGTGAAAAATAAAGATATTCCTGAAATTTATTTACCTTTCATGTCTCAAATAGAATAAAAATAATAATAATTGAATTCAGCTAAAGAAAAATAAAATGAATAATTAGTCTAATCATAACAATAGAATTGTAAGATTAATATTCATATAATTAGCTAAAAAATAAAATCCACGACTATGTTATGAGAGAGCAGAAAAAATAAGATCAGCTTTAGAGAAGGAATTGGGATTAAATGAATTTCTATCTATCTATAACACCTTTAAAAATTTAAGAGAAAAAAATTCTCTTGAAGATATTGCAAAATAATATGGCCCTTATTATACAGATTTAATTCCAAATATGCAATAAGAGTTAATTTAAGCATTTTTACCATCTTTATTTATCTTACTCGAATTCGATTTGGATGAATGATAAGTAATAATAATTATGAAAGTTTGTGTTATATTTTTAATTAAAAAACTACAGAGTCTATATTTATCAATAAAAAATTTATTCTTGAAATATTCATTTCTTTTACTTAATTAAATTTAAAAATAAATCAATTTTTATAAATGATTAATAAATTTTGATTGAATTTTAACAATAAATCATATACAAAAACTGCATGATCACAATTTATTGGATAGTATTTTTTAAACATCTTCTCTACCTAGTAAAGTTTAAAGACGCATAACATATTCCTTAAAATCTTCATCAGATACTGCAGAAAAATATTCAATAGCCTAATTAGATAAATACTTACTTATTAATATGAGTCCATAAGAGAATTCAATGTCTATGGGTTTAATTCTTACTCTAAAGATTTCTCATAATAAGTTACAGAATCAAGGAGTTTTTATATTTGAAAATTTTCAAACTTTTATAATGTTACTTCTTCTTCTTATATTTTTTTTCCAGAAGAACCAGTTTTATAGAGTAGAATTGAATCCATAAATTAATCAATATTTTAAGGGATTAATACTTATTATCTAAAATTATCATCAGATCTCCATGTTAATATAGCACTATTATCTATTTTTTCAACTTTAACTAAATCTTTTGTAGGTTAATAGCTTTATAGATTTAAAACTTTATTTTAAGATTCCAATATCAAAATATGACTATTGCTTAATTATAATATTTTCTAATAAGATTTTCCATCAATTATTTCTTTACAACAAAAATATTCAACATCTTCCAAACCTAATTATCCTTCATATTCCAAATCTTAATTATATTTGCCTAAAGATAATAACTGATCTCTATCATCTTTACAACGTCTCACTTAATCCTAATTATAGAATATTCATAGAGTTACTAGGAATTAAGGAAATTTTTGAATGATTTCATTTAATAAAATGGATGGACTCCATTATTAATGTAAAACATCTTCAATATAATCTCTTCCATCAGCAAAAGTGGGTTTTGTTAACTAAGTTAATATAATTTGATTTGTACATGACTAAGAACATGAACTCTAGGAAATACAAATGGGAATTTATTATCAAGATATAAGCAAATTTTGATAGGTTTACCTTAATTTAATGGTACAACTGGTTACATTTCAACCTATATAGTGAATAATAAGTACAATGATTTGTAAATTATTAGACAATTACTTAAAAGTAATTTTGAATTCTTTCCTATCTAGAATTTCTAATTATTTTAATTCTAGATGTATAATTAAGGAATACCTTTTCTAATTCTTTTAATTTAGATTTCATTTTTGAAAATATTAACAATATAGTTATCTGGATTGTCCATTAATAAATAAATAATATAATATATTAGTATTAGTCATTTTAGAATCATAAGGATGAAAGTTCTCCATTCTTTCAGATTCTTTAGTAATAAGATTTTAATTCTGATGAAGATTTACAATAAAAATTGACTTCTTTAGATGTGAATATTTTCAAATTATAATATTTTATAAAATAGTTATGGATTTCGACAACAATGACTATTTAAAGATGAGAGATATTAAATTATTGGAACCAATATCTCATTAAAAGATTGTGCAACTTGAAATCCTAATCCATTGGATCTTTATGGTTTGTTATTAGTAGCATTTTAGATTTCTGAGAATAATAACCTTAATACCAAAACAATAGAATTAGCTGTAATATTAATAAAGATTTATGTTTCTAAAAATTAGATACAATCAGATAATTTATAATTGTTGGGAATAGCCTCATTAATGATTGCAGTCAAAGTAAACTAGTTTTAATATCTTAAATAAGTTTAATGAATGCCAAACTTAAATCAATATGAATATAGATGATTATGCATCATAATATAATTTTGAATTTAGTTCTTAATAAATAATGGAAATGGAAATGAGTATTTTAACACTTGTAGATTATGATGTAAATATCACTACAATAACTGATTATTATGATCAATAAGAAGTTCATTCTGATCTTATTTTGTTTGTAACTCTTGATTCAGATTTCCTTTATTATCAAAAATATGAATTGTATGAAGCTATATCAAAATTTTATTCAGAAGATACATAAAACATACCTATAAAAATTTAAAATGTAAGAATTCAACCAAAAAGTAGATCATCTACAAAATAAACTAGAAAATATCAAAATTGACATCAACAGAATAAAAGAAAATTCCAAAAATAAGAAGAAAGAGGATTTTAAAAAGAAAATCAAGAAGTGCATAATAATAATAAGTCATTTCAAATAATATGCAATGAAAAATATGATTTCAATTACAATTTATGATTACAATCACCATATTGGTGCAGCAATTGTAAACTATTTATTTTCTATGACTTTTTTTTTTTGCAGCAAAAAAAATAAAATTTGTTGGTAATCTAATTATTCAAATTTTTAAGTTTTGGAGGGAAATAATTATTTTATTAAAATCTTTGAATTTATCTTTAAATTATATCTCTTCAAGACTTATTTTCTTAATAAAATATCAGAATAATTATTATATTAAAATAATTAATTTTTTTTATAGTAGTTTCCATTTATTTATTATTATTTCTATAATAATAAATGAGATTATTGAATCTATTATAGTTATTGCAAGAGAATACAATTTAAAATGATCAAATACAATTATAATATTTATTTACAAAATAATGATAATTTTTAAATTAAAATCTTTTATTTAATAATAAACAAATGGTTGTCAAATCACTTGCTCATAAAAGAATTGTACATAAAAGAACATAGAGATTTGTTAGATTTGAATCAGAGGATTATCCTCATAAATTAAGACCAAGTTGGAGAAGACCAAGAGGTATTGATAATAGAGTCAGAAGAAGATTTAGAGGTAATAGACCTATGCCTAAAGCTGGTTATAGAGGTGATAAGAAAACAAGGTATTATAAACTATGATTATATTAGATATTTGGATTAAACTGGTTTTAGAAAATTGTTAATAACTAATGAAAAAGATCTTGAATTGTTATTAACAAATAATAGAACATTTGCAGGTGAATTAGCTCACAATCTTTCTGCCAGAAAAAGAGCAACTCTTGTAAGAAGAGCAGCAGAACTTAATGTTAGATTAACAAATGGAAAAGGCAAGATAAGAGCAGAAGAGAAAAAAGAATGATCAATTTCATTGGTTTAATAACTAAATACATCTGTATATCAGCATTCATCAACTAATAAATTCAATTAGCCTAATAAATATTAATCTTAAATGATCTATTACATTCCTTGCAGATTTAATTAAATCATAACTTACTAGTTATAGATATAATTATTACATTTATAGTTGCTAACACTAATTATTAGATATTTAGTTTATTATAATCTAAGTTTTTTTCAAATATTTCTTCTTTTCTTAAGCTTTCTCTATTCTTATTTAATCTTACTTTTTCTAAACTATGATATTATAAACGATTTTTTATTTATTATTCTCTAAATTCTTCATTCTAATAATCGATATAATAATGAATTTCAATTAAACTTTCTTTTAGTATAGATTCTATAAAAATCTATAATGTGGGTTGAGAAATATATTTTAAAAAATTTAAAGTTGTTATTGTATTTAATTTTTTATTTCCTTTATTAATGATATTGATTGAATTCTCTTGCCATTAAATAAAATATGAATCATAATTGGGGAAGTTGGATTTAACTATTTCCATAAAATAAGTTTCTTCTTTAAAGAAAAATATATTCAAAATGTTAATAACTCTAGTTTTTAATTCAATAAATTAAAATGATTTTAATAATATTTATTGAAAACCTATAAATTCTTTTATTAAATAAAGAATCAAATTTCCATAACATGATACATCTATTTTTCCAATTTATTATAAAATAATTGTTTCCATTACATAAAGACAATTATTTTTCATTTCTACTTATTATTCAATATCAATAATAGTTTATGCTTTAATCAATAATTAAGCTAATATTTAATAAAGATTATTTGATATAGGTAATAAATCTAATAATATCAATTCATTTATCATTTATAAAATAAAGCATTAAATTGTCTAATTTTCTAAATTTTACAATAGTAAATTTTCATTTTTCAAGAATAAACCTTATAATTAAATACCTGTTGTATTATCATTCATACATTTATTAAATTCATAGAGCAATTTTAAATACAAATCTAATACATCTTGATGATTGTTTTAAATATTTTATGTAATAAATATTATTGCTAATTAAATAAGTTAATTTGGTACATTACCAAAAGAAAAACTAATCAATAACTTTTTAAACATTTCACAAAAATTTAAAACTACTAAATTTGTATTTATATTAAACAAATTTATTAAATATTAATTTTATATTAGTTTATTTTCAAATTAATTAGAATTTGTTGAGATTACTAAAGAAGTATATATATATTAGTACAGAAAGTTATTAATAATCTAAATATAATGAGATATATCATCCTCTTTTAATATATTGTGTAATAATGAAATTACTTGTTCTAATTTTAACAAAATTGGATAATCAATTCTATTTATTTTACTTATCAAAATTTAATTTATGCAATCAAATCCTGCAATTTTAATTGCTATATCATTTGATTTTATAATTATAATTATAGTTTGTTCAAAAAATTATTCAAATTCAGATTGACAAAATTTAGGTATAAATTCTTTTCCTAACATAATATATCTATAATAATTTCTTGGATTTTCAGTCTAAAATAAATAATTTAAAATGGGTATAAAAGAAACAGTTTATAATTTCTATTTTTCTTGAATTTTTATAGCTTTACCAAATAATGAAAAGAAACTATCCATAAGTTCAGTTTTTATAACTGAATAATTAGTTGATAATAATTACTAAGTATTTTCTATTATATAATTCAATATTTATTAAGGAAATCTACTTATTAATTATTCTTAACATTCTGCACATAAAAGATAAGTTGATTCACAAACATCATCTTTATCATCACTTGTTTTACTTTTTTAATCATTTTCAATTTCTAAGATTTCTTTTATATTAGAATTTCTCTTTGAAGAATTAATAACAATTAATCTTTCTAAAAAGAATATAATATGAGTATTAAAAAACCCCTGAAAAGTTTCATTACATACTTCTCTTAATTGAATATACACTTATGATTTTGGCTAAGGGATTGTTGCTTTAAATTATTCATTTGAACAGTAGTAAAAATGAGTCTATAAAATTTTTGTTATTGAAGCTATTCCAATATTAATTAATCGATTTTCAGGTTCAACTTATAATAAGATAATTTATAAAATTGTCAAGAAATCCTAAAGTGAATATCCAATACTAATAGGATATAATTATTATAAATTTGATAAACTACAAATCAATGTTTTTAGATGAGTTTTTATTATATTAGAATTTTGATATACTTTTAGTAATTCAGATGCTTTCTATAGTAAAATTTTGAAAATTTCTGATATAGTTTATCTAATGATATTAATTTTTTTACAAATCTTCCTCTTAATGAAAAGGCATTATTAAATAGCTTAATATTTAATCTAATTTTTAGGATGTCTTTTAAAGTAATACATTACAAGTAATATCAGAACCTTTAGATAAATCTTAAAATTATAATTAAGTAACATATCTCCATAGATGTGTAAACATTGGTAAAATCTTTTAACTAAACTCTTTTTATTAAATTTTATAAGCCACTAAAGTTCTATAAATAATTTTTTTACTTAATCTATTTTTTGAAACTTCTTTTTAGACTGATTTTAAGGTTCTTATAAAATCATATATTGGATGTGAGACAACATTATCAAATTAACTAATTTATGATAAAGTTGATATAAAATAATTTTCCAAATCCTAAAATTTTCCCGGGAAATCATATTTAACTATTACTTATATAATTTGATTTAAAATGTTTCTTTCTTTTCTTTCAATATTCTATATAAGCAGTTTAACTAAAGATTATTTGACTTGTATTTTTAATTGTTCATTTAAGATATTAGCCCTTTTACCATTTATAATTGATGCTTTTATCCAATTTCTAGTGATTGCATTTTTTAATAATAATAATGATTGAAGTCTCAAGACCTCCGTCTAATTATTATTTCTGAAGATTTACATTATCATTTTCATAGATGTGTATTAAAGATAGCAAAAATTAGGGTTCATTCTATTCAAGTTATCTTAAAAACTCACTTGCTTGATTACGCTACTATTCATCCTTTGTAAATAGAATTAAATTAAAAGAATATTTGATTTTTTCAGGGTCAGGTAAATAGCAATCCTTCATTTTAGAATTAATATTATTATTAAATGTAAATTATAAATTAAATACAGATAAAGGAAAGTCAATCAAACTAGATCAATTCTTCATTAAATTTGATAATTAATTGAGGGAAATAATTACATAGAATTATATGACTTAGAAGAATTATTTTAATAAGTAAATATTAATATATGTAATTAAATTTATTAGACATTAACATTTAAATAATTATAATAATAATTAAGATTATATAATTCTTAGATAATAATAGATATGATATTCGAAAATAATCATCATCATTTATAGATATATCAGTAATTTAAGAAGTATGGAAATAAAAAATAAGTATAAGTGATAATTTTTATTATCATAATATAATAACATTCATTCATCTTATTATTATTATTATTATTATTATTATTATTATTAATCTTACTCTACTTTATTTTTTGGAGAATCCAAAAGATTTGGAATTTCATTTTGATCCCCTTTTTAACTTTTATTTTAATCATCTTATTAAAAATTATTTTAATTTTATTAATTAGTTTCTTCCTTTGAATTTTCATTTTCATTCTAATCATTATCTTCATCTTATTTAGAATCATTTTATTAATGTTTATCATTAATCTCATTAATCTATTATATAGAAATTTTTGAAGATTAGTCTTAAGAAGGTTCACTTATGTGAGGACGTTCTTTTTCTTTGTTGGCTTCTTCATCATCTGAATTAAAATTAGAGATTTCCTTATTTTAATCACTAAATTTTAATATTTTTAATTACTCTTTTTATTTTGGTTATAAATATTTTTCAGCAAATTCTTTAGCAGTCATAGTCAAAGCTGATTCTAATTCTTCAAATGCTGTTTTTTACATTTATTATGTATTTTACAATTTTTAAAGTAAATCCATTTCATAAGTTTCAATTTAATCAATTTCTAAGATTTTTATAACATTTACCTTTTTGTTTAATTTCTTTAAGTTATTGTTCAGATTATAACTTTTTTCCTAATTAAGCTTTAATAGCTTCTCTTTTTTCTAATTATATTCTTTCCATAACTCTATTAATGTCTCTTGATTCTCGAAAGATTTAATTTTTTTATTTCAAAGAAGTTAAGGATTATTTCTAAATATTTTATTTTCTTAATTCTATTTTCTTAGATTATTCTTTTATAATAAATGCTTTTTATTATTTTTCATTCATATGCTTTTAAATTAATAACTTATGCTCTTTTTCTTATTATTTTCTAATTTATTATTATTATTCTTATTTTTTTTATAAAGATTCCTTTTCTTCCTCTTTCTAAATTTAATATAAAAATATTTACTTTTTTAAGTTTCTCTTCATTTTTTTTCTTTAAATAATAAATCTCTAATGCTTTTTTTCTGGTTTCTTCTATTTTTTTAAGAGTACGTATTTCTTCTTATTTCAATAATGCTACCCTATTATCTAATAGTTATTTGTGAGCTTCGATAGTTTTCCTTTCTCTCTTTGCAGTATTATATAATTTTATTATGTCTTTATCATAATCTGTTTCATTGTCATTTGTAAATAGATCATCAATATATGCTTACTAAATTAAGAAATAAAACTACTTTTTAAAGACTTTTTCTTTAAGAATGGATATCTGTCATAATTGAAAAGCTTAATTTTTATTTAATATTTTAAATTAAACTTAGAAAAATTAATATTATAAACAATTTATGAATTCAAAACCTTTTAATGGAAATAATAATTAGAATATGTTAATTTTTATTAATAATTAAAGAAATGCATTTATGTTTCATTAGATAATATTTATATTTATATATTAAAATAAAAATTTTTAATTTAATTTATTATATAAATAAATTGTATAAAATTTATTAAATTGTTAAAGAAAAAAAAAGACTTAATTAAAACTAAAAATGAATCAAATTTAAAAACTTTGTTCAATCTATGTTTTTGATTCTGATTCAATTGTTGGATGTTTTAGTTTACTATGAAGATTTAGAGAGGCTTCTGAACCATATAATTTTTCACATTAGGTACATTTATATATTTTAGAAATTTCTGTTGCTTTTCTTCTCTATTTCTTTTAAGGTTAAATAAATTATTTATCCAATAAACTATTTTAATCTTTGATAAACTGAATTTGTTATTGTAAGACTTAATTAAATAAATATATTTTTCTTGACTCCAAAAGATAATTCATCTTTGAATCATAGTTCGGACATTCTATTATAGATACATATTTGTACAAGAGATAGCATTGTCTAATATAGAGAAAAATTGATTGTTGCTTTGATCGTTCAATTATTTCATACCCAGAATATATAATTTAAATTTTAATTTTATTTATGTAATGATTAGTGATTTTAAATAATTTTAGAAAACATAATTTTTTTCATGAGAAAAAATTATATTATTATTGATGATCGTGAAAGATCTCGTTCAAAAGAAAAATAAGTTAAACCAATATAAGTCATAGATTTAGAAGAATCATGTTATTCTTTAGATAAAGGTGATATCATAGGAGGAAAGTACAAATATTTAGAGAGAATTAATGAAGGAACCTTTGGAAGAGTTATCAAAGTTAGAGATGTTTAATCAAATAATTAACGTGCTTTAAAAGTAAGATTCTTTTTTATAAGTAGATTATTAAAAACTCATTTCATGATTATGAAAAGGAATACTAAGCAGTATAATTTTTAAATTTATACCCTAAATTAATTGACCATCCTGGTAGACATCATATAGTAAAAGTATATGATTTTTTTTATCACAAATAATGTCAATGTATTCTAATGGAAGCCTTAGGTCCATCTCTATATGAATCCTTAATAAAAAAAAGATTTACATAATAATAAATCAAATCTATCATGTTGTAGTTATTAAATGCAATTGATTATATGCATGAGCTTTAATATCTTCATACTGATATTAAATTAGAAAATATTCTCTTTAAATCATAATTTGATGAAGTTAATGTCAAAATAATAGATTTTGGAAATGTTGTTTATGGCAGACAATTTTATAAAGGATTAGTTAATACTGAAGAATATAGAGCACCTGAAGTTATTTTGGGTCTTGAATGGAATTCAAAATAGGATATTTGGTGTCTTGGATGTTTAATGCATGAAATGTTTTTCTAAAAAGAATTATTTGGTAAACTAAAAAATAATAACTAAAAACATTTATTGATGATTGAATATTTAAATGGTCCATTTCCATAATGGATGATTAAAGATTCTAATTTTTTTTTAAAAGGTAAAGTAATTTCAGATTAATATATGAGATAAGGAATTTCATTTTCTCATCTTTAAGATATTAATATTCACTCTTCATTCATTGAATTATTAAGGTGGATGTTGAAAACTGATCCAAAAGAAAGACCATCTGCTAAAGAATTACTGAAACATAATTATTTTAAAATATGAAATAATACCTATTAATTATAAATAATCCTAAAATATTATAGATTATATCATTAACTATAATAGAAGAGGATATTTAAATAATTAAAAACAAATACTATTCTAAATTACATTTAAATGATATTTTCCTATTAACATTTAAACCAAATGATTATTGACCTTATTTGAATTTAAATATTTTATTTTAGAGGAAAATAAAATTAATTAATTATTAAATAATCTATCTTTGCATCAGAATACACATAGTTCATATATATTTGATCTTTCTTTTTATTTATCTTCAATTAGTTCGATTATAAATTAATGAATCAAATCGAAAACCCTATTGGAGAGTCAAAGTTTATTTAAATAAAGTATTATTGTTTTTTGTATGATAAAATTGAAGTTTATGGAGTAGATGCTAATTTAATTTATCTAATTTAATAAATCATGTAATTATTTTATAATTTCTTAATTGTTCAATTAATTCAGTTTTGATTAAGAAAAAATTATTAAACTAAAATTGGATAAAAGAAAAAATGTTTGAGATTTTCAATTTTTTGATTTAAAATTGTTTCATTACTCTTTTAATAATTATCTTATTATTAAAAAAAGTATTGAAAATTTAGAGTTTTATTTTTATCATTAAATAACCTTAAATTTGATATTAAGTTATTATTAGTAATTGTTTCTAAGTATTGAAATAATTATCTTTAATATATTTATATATTCTGTTATCTAAATTTACTTAAATTTCAAAAGATTCTTTTTTTATATAATTATTTGTTTTTTAATGATGAATCTTAAGATTTTAATTTATCTTTTCTAAATCTTTTGTTTGAATATCCTTCATTGAAGCTTCTAAATATCAAAAAAGTAATGAGGATATGAAACAATTAAAAGTTTTTAAATTTTAAGTGGAAATAGGAAAAATTATAGGAGGTTAAGAAGTATATATATCAAAATTAGAGATAAACATAGTTAATATAAAATCAGTATTGAAGGATAAACAAAATGATTTCTAAAATTCAAATAGAATAATAATAATAATAAAAATTATCTTAAGAAATCAAAAAAATAATCTGAGGAAATAGTTTAAATAAATGCAATTAGAAAAATATTTATTATTTTAAAGTCATATTAGAATCTAAGTAATTAAACAGTTAATAATAGTGTAAAAGAATAATCTACAGAGGAATTAATTTAGAATATTCATATAGAAGAAATTAATATATTTATAACTTAATAACTTACTTTTAATAATAATACATACATATAGAAGGTTTAAAATGAATTTAAGAATGATATAAAGATAATTTAAGATAAATTAAAATAGAAAAAGTATAATTAATATAAGAGGAATTGCAGTTTTAGAATTTAAAATAAATTGAAATTAACAGAAGGAAGTATTCTAATTAATTCAATTATAGCATAATGAATTAAATAAAAAGCAAAATAAAAAGCAAAATTAATAAAATATTAAATAGGCCTAATTAAAAATTGAAATTTTAAAAGAATAATAATTATTAAGAATAAATAAATCATTTTAAGTAAATATAGTATAAATTAAAAGAAAATACACAAACAATATTACATTACTAAATCTTTCATTTTGAATAAATGAATGATAAAATGAAATTAATTACTGTGTAAATAATTATAAGGATTTTAAGTATCAGACAAATAAGAATTTGTGCTACTGCAATCATATATGTATTTAATTTTTAAAGTTTAGAAAGATAACAATTTAGAATTAAAAGCATACATAGTTTAGAATTCAATAAATTATAAAGAGTAATTTGAAAGATATGAATATAATTAGTAATTTGATTGTGAGTATAGAGTTGAAGGTGAAAACAATTGAGTGAACCATACTCTAAACAGTTTGATAATTTCAAATTAAGAATTTAGATTGTTGTTTAAATGAAATTTGATGGATATATTCTAAATGTTTATTATATAAATTATAATCAAATAATGTCTTAAATTGCATTAAAGTGGGAGATTCAACGTTTATAAGGAACATTACCAAATAAAATTACAAATCCTTGCACATTTTATGAAGATAATTTATATTTAATAGTTGATAACTACAAATAGAATGATTTGTATAGTTTAAGCTTAATTGATTTTAAATGGCGGAAATTATACAATGGAATTCCATTTAAGGCTAGGTGACAATTGAATATGAACAATAGATATAATAGTTAATTTGTAATGAATTAAGGAAAAATATATTGTTATGGTGGAAGTATAGATATCGAAGGGACGATTTTACTTGATGAATTTTTGGAAATTGATGTTGTACAATTGAAATTCCGTTAAATAAAAAGTGCTCCAACAGGAAGAGTTGAACATAGCATGTGTATATATAGAGGTTAAATTTTAATAATTGGAGGAAGGACTTAAAAGAAAATTTTTAATGATTGTAAAACGTACACAATAGGAAGTGATAAGTAAAATAAATAAATGTATTGCATTAGATGGAATTAAATAGAATTTGAACCTGCACATAGATTTGGACATTAATGTACTGTTTATGAAGATACTATAATTGTAACAGGAGGAAGTGATGGATAAATAATATTAGATGATGTCTGGTTATTAGTTGATTTAAGAACTTGGATTAGATTGGAAATAAAAAATCCTATATCAATATTTAGACATTAAGCAGCATTAGCCATGAAAGAGTATTTAATAATATTTGGAGGATGTACATTGGATGGAAAAAGATGCAATGATAATTTCTATGCTCTAAATATAGTTACATTGAAATGGATTGAATTACCAAAAGTAAGTAGACATCCATATCCTCGTGTATAACATACAATGCTTTGTTTATTACATTAATCTCGAGAAGATATTTTAATTATTGGAGGTTTAAATTATTAAGATCTCTCAATTCTTAATTTTTCTCAAGTAAATATTAAGTTTTAGATTAAGTTAAGATGGCCAATTTGGTCGATCTATAACCTCAATCATCATTAGTGAGTTATCGTAGTCATACAGTAGAGAGAGAAGAATTTTTATAGGACATACCATTAGAAGTTTAACATATAGAAGAAGGAACTTCATTTTTGGAATTAGGAAAATATTATGAATGGAAGATTGAAACTAATTCAGAAATGTAAATATATATATGAAATTTAGAAAGTTCACTCCTAGAACAGGTCACTCAGTTGTACAATGTTAAGAAAATCTTTATTTATTTTGTGGATCTGATGAAAATACAATAGTAAATGATATGCATTGTTACAATTTATTTAAGAAATAATGGGAATAAATTGTACCTAAAGGAATACCACCTTCTCCAAGATCAGGTTGTAAAGGAGTTGCTCATTAAAATGAAATTTATTATTTTGGTGGATATACTAATAGAAGAGGAGAATATTTTAATGATTTATATGTTTTTGATACAAAATTAAGATAATGGAATTAGATAAGAACAACAAGAGAAATTTATCCAAGAGTTGATATGTCTCTTGTAATAAATAATGAAAAATTGTATGTCTTTGGAGGTGCAGATGGTAGTTATAGATTTAATGATTTACATTGCTTTGATATTCAAAACAATTATTGGGTTAAATTATAAACTCATGGATAAATTCCATCATAAAGATTTGGTCATACAGCAGAAGTATATAAAAATTAAATGTATGTATTTGGTGGTTGGGATGGTTTTAAGACTTTAGATGAACTTGTATGATAATTATTAAAATTTAGTATACCTATTCATTTGCTTCAAATTATTGGTATTTGGAAAAGGTTAGAAATAAGCCTCCTTCTCGTTATAGACATAGTAGTACTATAATTGGATATAGCATATATATTTTTGGAGGAGTTGATGCTGCTATGACACGATATAATGATCTATATGAATATAATTGTGAATTAAAATAATGGAAGTTTATAGAAACAGCAGGTAATACTCCTTCTGCAAGAACATTTCATTAATTATGTTCTTATGAAACTTCAATTTATTTAATTGGGGGGAATGATGGAACTAAAAAAAATAATGATATGTAATTTTAATATTCTTTATCATTAAAAGGTACTCAATTTAAGTATTTGATCATAGATTTAGTGATTTATCTAGCATTTCACAATTAGAAATTTAATCAAATTTTATTCCAAAAGAAAATGGTCTTATCAATATTCTTAAAAATTAAGTATATGAATTAGAGTAAAGATTAAAAGAAGAATAAGAATTTAATTTATGTTAAATTTGTTAATCTAAAGATATTAATTCTGTATTTTAGAAATTTATTTTAGGTCTTTTTGGAATGTGGTCATAGATTTTGTTGTTATGAATGTTCAAACAAACTTGAGCTTTGTAAAATATGCTTAAAGAAGCCAAATAGGATCATTAAAATATATGTAGTTTGACTTTTTTTAGCAGTATTTATATTCTTCATAAAACAGTTTATATTTATATTAAAATTTATATCACCATTTTTAATACATGAAATTATTAATGAAATATGATGATTTTGATAAATAAAATTAATATTTTTGTCAATGGATATACAATAAAAGATTGCCCATTATTATGAGACTGTTCTATCCAAAACTCATCTTAGAACTCTACTTGATAATGATGAGAGAAATAAACATTTAGTAACATCATATGATGGAATATTATTGGATTATTCTCATGAAAAAGTAGATGCTGAATTAATATCATAATTTTAATAATTAGCTGATAGTACAAACCTATTTGGAACTCTAAAAGATATCTAATCAGGAGTATTGTATTTATTATAAATAGATCAAATTTAATTCCACTGAAAATAGAGCAGTATTACATACAGCTTTAAGAACACCAGAAGCATAATAAGTTATAGTAGATGGACAAAATGTTATTCCAGATGTGTATACTATTTTGAATAGAGTTAAAACATTTACAGAATCTGTTCGATCTGGAACATTTTTAGGATACACTAAAAAATAATTGTTAAATACAGTTGTTATTGGAATTGGAGGAAGCTATTTAGGAATAGAATTCATATATGAAGCTTTAAGAACACATCATGAAGGACAATTAAAATCTAAAGGAAGATAATTAAGATTTTTGGCAAATGTTGATCCTGTTGATACAATAAGAGCTTTATAAGGTTTAAATGTAGAAGAGACTATTTTTGTTATCAATTCTAAGACATTTACAACTGCAGAAACAATTATGAATGCAAAAGTATGCAGAAATTGGATTTTAGAATAATATAAATTGTTGGGTCATGAAAATGAAAAAGTATTTATAATTAATTAAGAAAAGGAAATATTAGAGTCACATTTAACAGCTGTATCTACAAATTTGGCTGAAACAGGCAAATTTGGAATTAATGAATAAAGAGTATTTGGATTCTGGGATTGGGTTGGAGGTAGATATAGTGTTACTAGTGCTATTGGAGTTTTACCATTGAGTCTTTAATTTGGTTATGATTATATTGCTTAAGTCTTACATGGAGCTCACTCTATTGATTAACATCTTGTAAATGAGAAATAAGTAAATAAGAATCTACCTGTTCTATTAGGATTATTGGGATGGTATAGAGCAAGTATCTAAGTAAATAATATATAATTATATTAGAAATATCAAGCTTTGGCTTTGATTCCTTATGCATAATGCTTATTAAGATTTCCTGCACATGTTTAATAAGTTCATATGGAAAGTAATGGTAAGACAGCACTTGTTTATCCTGATAAACATGAATAATATTTAAGATCTGCTTGTCCATTTATTTTTGGAGAACCTGGAACAAACTCTTAACATTCATTTTTCTAATTGATTCATTAAGGCTCATAAGTTATCCCTTGTGAATTTATAGGTTATGCAAAATCTTAAGCTGAAACTGGAGCTACTAATCCAGCAGCTGTAAGAGATTAACATGATGAATTAATGTCTAATTACTTTGCTTAAGTTGATGCTTTGGCAAGAGGAAAGACTAAAGAAGAAGTTATAGCTGAAGGAGTAAAAGAAGAATTATAACATCATAAAGTATTCCCTGGAGATAGATGTAGTTTACAAATTCTATTTTAAAATGAAGCCAATCCATATAATGTAGGATAATTATTGGCTCTTTATGAACATCGTGTACTTGTTGAAGGGTATATATATATTTAAAATATTAGTATTCTTTGGGGAATTAATCCATTTGATTAATGGGGAGTTGAATTAGGAAAGGTTCTTGCAAAAAATGTTAGATCAGTTCTATTAAAAAATGTTGAAAATCATAACAATTTAGATTTTACAGGATTTAATGCTAATAGTGCTACCAAAAATCTTATTAGTCATTATAGAGCATTTTAAGGAAAATAATGATTTAAAATAAATGCATATTAATATGAAACAAGAGAATAATTCTTACAATTAATTATAAATTATATATATTAATTAAATATCTTAGATCAGAAATATAGATATACTTAGAATTTCTTTATAATTTTAGTGATATTATTTCTAACAATTTGAGATGGAATAATAAATGATAACTATAATTTAAGTTTTATAAATTAATTCTAAACTAGTTATTAAGTTTATATCAATATTAATTACTTTATGAATTCAAACAAGAGTTTCATATATAATCTAATTTTTTGACACTTATTTGAATTTGCATTAATTTTAATATTAATTTGTTAAATTATTTATTATATTAAAAATTAAATAAACATATATAGAACATGATTGCTAATAATGAATTAGTGTTAGGAGATTAGTAAAATTAAATATGATGTAGACCTAAATAAATCAAGTGTCCTTTCTGTTCAAATTCAACAGTTTCAACAGTTACTTTTAAGAACGGATATATAAGCTATATTACGTGTTTCTTAGTTTTGCTTATTTTTGGACTTATGCCAAGTCTATTGTTAATTCCAGTTATTATGATAATAACAAGAACTTTAATTCATAAGTAGTTTTGATTAAATGAGTTTAGATGTTCTGCATGCAATGAAGAAATTGGTGGTGATGGCAAAGTATTTCATGTATTAGGTGTAAAGGATTCAGTATGAGTATTATTATATTTTTAAAGATGATGTCATTCAAAATTGGAGAATTTGGAGTTATTTTAACAAAAAGAATAGTTATTGGAACTTTGTTATTAATCTTAACTTTAGGAGTTTTGTGGTATAGAATATTAGATATGCCAACTTAATAATGGATGGATTATCATTAACATTATAATCCTAATATTACTATTACTGATACTTGGAATGATTATTTAGAGAAATGCACAAAAGAGAAAATATTTCAAAATCTCTAATTTTAATAAAGTTGCTAATAAAAATATATAGATAGAACAATAGTAGATTGGAAAGGTATAATTAATATATTAAAATATAGGTTATGCAATAAGAGTAGAAGATAATTAATAATCTTTAATGAAGTTCTTACATCATTCTGTTAATATTTTAGTAAAAATGGATCCTGCAGAGAGTGAATTTCATCCTGATTTATTATTGACTGCTGATAGTGAAATAGCTGCTGAATTATGTAATTTTTTATTCAAAATTCTTTTAGCTTCAGAAATTGAAAAATTAGAAAGAGGAAGTGAATTTAGTTTCACAGCTATTATTAAATCAATTGGAGATTTCTAAAATATTAGACATTTTCATCTCCTAAACTTAACTAAACTCGAAGGGTATATTGAAATTCCACCTCATCTTCATTAATAGAGCAGATATGGAAATTCTTAATAGTTTCTTGCTTCATCAACTGATTGAATATATGAGTAATAATATAAAATAAGTATATATATATATATATGTATTCATTATTTCATTAAAGATATCATTTTTTAAAGATCTACTTAGATTTCCTCTTATGTAACTTATTAGCAAAACCCACCTATAATATTATCTACTAAATCTACCGTTTTTCTTAAGCAATTCTTCAAGATAAGATTATTTACTTGAAGCAGATGGACAATAATAAAATTATTGCACATTAGATTAAGTATTATGTTATGGCTATTCATTTGTATTAGTTTATCTTCTATTCATCTTTTCTAAATACTTAAGAGCTTTTTTATTCATTATTCGGCAAGGAGCTTTTAAAAATCTTTATTTTTAATCTTCGATTCTACACCATGGACAAATATATTTATATTTAGTATCTTCAACTAATATGTCAATTTAGGAAATTCCATTTTTTGATTCACATTATAAATGAGTCTAAACTACTATATATAAATATTATACCCATTTTTCACATCCATCTTGATCACAACCAATCCATTTTTGACCATCCAAAAAATTTTAATTGTCTTCAGAATAGACCTTAATTTTAATGTAAAAATATACTTATGCACAAAAATAACAGCACTTTTTTTCATTATATAAATTTAAACATTCTTAACAGAAATATAGAGTTTAATTGCTGAATTTAGCTGGCCAAACTTATGTTTATTCATTTCGACAATATTAATTCATGCAATCATCTTCTTATTGTTTATCTTAATCATCAATCATTTCAAAAATCAATATATTTAAATAAGAGTTTTTATATTATTTTATTTTATCAAACTTATAATTAATTTATGTAATTATTGATGATAATACTCTTAATTCTTAAAATTTATTATCTAATATGTTTTAATCATATCTATAAAAGTGACATCTTATTAATTGTTTAAAGATGACAAATTTTGGAATAAAAAATATCTATTTTTTATGTTTACAAAGATTTTCAGCTCATTTAGACATTATAATATCTTTCGAAATAATGCTAAACAATTGATGTTAGTTGGATTATTATCAGCTATTTGTTATAGATAAAGACTAAGCTTATAGGTTAATCCTAACATCAAATAATATGGTGATAACTTAAATAGAGCATTCAAAAGAGCATTACAACCTGAAGATGATTTTTAGTATATTATTATATCTAACTTAGTAAAAATACAATTATATTATCTGGTAACTCTAATAAAGAGTTGGCTGAAGGTATTATTCTTTATCAATAATTATTAGAAATTGCTGAATATTTGAATATTAAATTAGGTAGTGTCACCATTGGAAGATTTGCAGATGGGGAGTGTCAAATTTAAGTTCATATTATATATATTATATAGGTTCTTGATAATATTAGAGGAAAAGATGTTTTTATCATATAATCAACATCACCTCCTGTTAATGATAATTTAATGGAATTATTATTATTAGTATCTGCTTTAAGAAGAGCATCAGCAAGAAAAATTATTGTTGTGGTTCCTTACTATGGATATGCAAGACAAGTATCCTTTATACTATATTTTTAGGATAGGAAATGTGCACCAAGAGTTCCTATATCAGCTGCAGATGTTGCTAGATTATTAGAAACAGTAGGGGTTGATAGACTTATATCTGTTGATTTACATTGTGGATAAATTCAAGGGTTCTTTGGACCTAGAGTACCTGTTGATAATCTTGAAGCAAATTTAGTTGCTCAAAATTATTTATCACTCTAAAAATAATATGAATTTAAAGATGTTGCAATTATTTCACCAGATGCAGGTGGTGTTTATAGGGCAAAGAAATTTTAAGAATAATTTGATTAACATCATCCTGGAATTCAATCACATTTAGCTATGATTATTAAATAAAGAGAAGGACCAGGAAAAATTGCATCCATGAACTTAGTTGGTTAAGTAAAAGGAAAGGATTGTATTATAGTTGATGATATGATTGATACTGCAGTAAATATAATCCTAAATTTATAAAGGGTACACTCTCTGAAGCTGCCAGAGTCTTAAAAGAATAAGGAGCAAATAGAGTATTTGCATTTGCAACTCATGCCTTATTTTCTGGCAAAGCATTTACTAATCTCTCAAGTCCTTCTTTAGATTAGATCATAGTTACAAATACTATTCCATCAAAACCTCAAGAAGAAGTTTTAGGCGACAAAATCTGTAGATTATCTGTTGGTAATTGATTTAACTAATTTAAGCTCCTCTATTGGCAGAAGCTATTTATAGGGTCTAGAAAAAGGAAAGCGTTTCAACTTTATTTGATATTAAACATTGATTTAATATACCATTTCAGATATAAATTTTTATTTTTAAATAAATAATTATTTACTACTTAATAAGTATTAGTTTTAACTCTTAATTATCTCTTCTATTGTAAATGATTAATAAGCAAATTATTATATTTTAATGTTTAAAAATTTAGTATAAATATAGACAAAAAATAAACAGGTTTTTATAATGAATAAGATTAATGTTCACTCATTTATAAATTCTTTAATCTTTATAAGAAAGAAATAATAAATTAAAAGTAAATATACAGACTTATAGATATATAATTAATTAAATATGATGATACAATAAGAGATATAATAGAAATGGATGATATTAAAGGTAAATTAATAAATAATTAAAACATTCAATTCGAAATATCAAATAATTTGATCTTTAATGTGTCTTTCATTTAGATTTTAGATTTTAAGTTTATATAGGTGAATATATTGATATAATTTTTATTATTTAGTACAAATTATGAGATTAAAAATACTTTATTCAATCATTCTAAGATATTAATAGATTACTTTTAAAGTTTAAGAAATTTACCACATGGATTTAAGATCTAGACAAATTATTCTTGGTGATGGAAAATTATTACTTAATATCAGAAATACCATAAAAAGAATTTAATTGAAAAAATTAAGATACATTATCTAGATAGTCAAATAGTTTAAGGATTTAAATTTAACACAACAAATAGTAAAGCTTTTTTCATGAGGTTTTGGATTAAGAAGTATCATAACTGTCAAAATGAGAAAAACAATGTTTATGATAGATAAAGATATCTATAGTTAATCGAATATATTTCAAAGTGGAATTCTCTCATTTTGATATTTTCATACAATAGAAAAATACTATATCCAATCAACAAATGATCTGTAAATTTTAATACTTTAAGCTATCTTAAGCTTATATAAGTATATATATTATTTTAATAAATTTAACAATAAAAAACATGATCACTGCCAGTCTCGAAATGACAGCCTCGTAATTTGTAAAAAAACGAGTGATAACCCCTACTTCACAAAATCAATAGATAACTATTTCTTATAATATATATTACAAACTCAAAATCAATCTATATCTTAATTTATTATAGAATTAGGGGTATTCTAAATAAATTTAATAATAAATATTTTTCATATATGTGGAGTTCTATAAATTAAGGTTTATAGTAACAAAAATTGAGTTTGATATTATGTTGAATATTTTTTAATAATGAGAAATAAGGGAAATAAACTTATAATATATAATAATTACTGAGTTTATTGTATTTGATTAATATTTAGCCATTATAATCCTAATCTTCTAATATTATAAATTTTATTATCAATATGTGTTAAACATCAATTGAGGAAGAATACAGTGTAATAAGTAATATAGGATGCGGATTTTCAGCTGAGTATTGTTTTAAATTGAAAATTAGTGTATAATTAGTTTCAAGATCTGGAGAATTAATGGCACTGAAAGTATTCAAGGCTTAGTAAGATTAACTATATGAGAATGAGATTCGTATAATGAACAAGTTAAGTCACATTTCTGGAGTTATTAGAATAAGAGAAAGTCAACTTAGAGGGTGTATAATGATGGATTATGCTAAGTATGGAAACTTACTATAATACTTATAATAATCAAGATTGGAAGAAAACATAGCCAGAAGTTTCTTTAAATAAATGATATTCAGTAATAGTTCATATATATAATTAATAGTAATTGATAAGATTCATAAGATGGGTATTGCTCATAGAGATTTAAAATTAGAAAATATATTATTAGATGATTAATATAAGTTGAAGATTTGTGATTTTGGATTTGCTGTTCAATATTTAGATGAATAAGGAAGAAGAATAAAAGTGAATGAGTAATTTATTATCTTTATGATTATAGTTATGTTGGGACACCTTAAACTGCAGCCCCAGAGATATATCTTAGACAGCCATATCATCCAGTAGAGGCAGATTTGTTTTAGTTAGGAGTTATTTTATTTTAAATTTGTGCTGGATCTAGTCCATTTCATAATGCTAATATTAAGTGTGATCCAAATTATTAGTTTATCTATAGGTAATATTTGATTTGATTATGTAGATAATAAATAGGAAAGTTTTGGGAAAAACATTAGTTTGAGTTTTCAGCTGAATTAAAGGATATTATAGTCAAACTTTTGGCTTTTAATCCAAATCGGAGATTATCAGTAATTTATATATTTATTTTTGTATTATAGATTCCTGAAATTCAGTCTCATCCTTGGATGTAAGGAGAAGTAGCTGACTAATCATAAATCATTGATGAAATGGAATACAGATGGTCATTGCTCTCTTTGTAAATCTGATAATTAATTACTTATAACTTAGATTCATATTTTTAATATAATATAATAGAATTTTATTTTTAAAAGAACATTTCTAAAAAAATTATTTAGTGATTTTTCTATTTTCTATTTTTAATAAAGAATAGGTAACTTATAATAACAAATGAGATAATTTTCTAAGAGTTATTTCAGAATTGTAAAGAAAAATGGAAAAAAGTTACATCCACTCATTTTCTAAATGATTTAAGGAATCATAAAACAAATTTATTTTAACTTAATTATTCTTAAAGTTATTTAAAAAAGGAGTAGAAAAAATAAAAGCATTTTAAATATAATTATCATTCTTATAAAAAAATTAATTATAAAAATTAAGCTGAAAATAGTTAAATAAATCATCATTATTCTTGTGAATCTTCATAATATATGATATGTTATTTTGTTAGATGAATATCTAAAAATATTTTATTTACATCCTTTTGATATTATGATCAATATAATTGATTGAAATGTATTTAAATATTTTAATAATATTTTTTATATATATTACAATCACTCCCAATCATCTAAAATTTCTACCCTCTCTCCTGCACTACCTAAATTAACACAAAAAACAATTTCATCATTTTCTGGAATATCAAATGCAAGTGATATTGGTTCATTCAAAGAGTTTTTATTTTTAAACTTTACTATCTATTAAATAGATATATAATATAAATACTTTATTTTCTAAATTGACATCTATAATAATAATATCTCCAGTTCCAAAAGGAAACTATTTAGATACCATATTTTCCTCCTTTTTATTATGGGACCATACATGATCATTAGATGATGCCATATATGAACCATGTCCCATAGCTTAATAATCAAATCTCAAACTAATTTATTTAATTTGAAGAGTACTTCTTTCCTTGAAGAACATTTTTTAATGCAATCCCTAAACCAATGAAATTAGTTAAATGTAAAATTTTAAAAGCAATTTTACATGAATCTTAAATAGAAGGTTCAATTAAAATAAATCTATTTTCAATATTTTATTGCACAGATTGAGTAGCTATTTTAAAATCTTGTACATTAATTGTTGTTGATTTCATAGTTTAACTAAATATGAAATTAATTTGATTATGATTAATAATTGGCAAAGTAAACTTTTCAATTGG